TCCTTGAGTTTTTATTAAAATTGAAATCATAAAATAACAAGCATTTCTGCGACACAAAATTGAGCGTACATTTCCGATACCCTTCCGGTTTTTGATGAATTTACTGTAAATTTTGACAGTTCGGTAGCATACAGTGTTTTTTGCTCTGCTGTGGTTCCGGTTGTTTTCAAATTACGACCAAAGTGCTTGTTTTCAATAAGTTTAAGCAGAATGGAAGGCAAAAGGAAGCAAACCGATCTTGCCACTCGGAAATTAGTCATCAGCTTGTACTGCAAAGGAAAAACCATGCGGGAAGTTGGTGCAATGGTTGGACGTACTCATTCCACGGTGCAGAGGATCATAAACAAGTGGAGATATGAAGGAAAGTTGCTGAATAATCCCGGAAGAGGTCGTAAACGCATACTCTCAGCAGGCGATGAACGTTTGATTACGCGGAAAGTTAATCAAAATCCAAAGATCTCCGTTCCGGAACTGACGTCAGAGGTGACACAGATGATCAATCGACCGATTTCCACAGAAACCGTCCGCAGGACCCTTCGGAAGAATAAGTTACACGGCCGAGTTGCTCGTAACAAACCGTTCATTTCGGCAGTGAACAAGAAAAAGCGTCTTGCGTTTGCGGAAAAGTATGTTTCAAAGCCTGTTGAATTCTGGGAAAGGGTTTTGTTTACGGACGAGACCAAAATAAACCTGTTTGGTTCCGATGGAAAGCAAATCGTCTGGAGAAGACCAAATACAGCGTTCAAATCACGGAACTTGAAACCAACGGTAAAGCATGGGGGAGGGAACGTTATGCTTTGAGGTTCGATGGCGGCCAGTGGAACAGGAAACATTGAGTTTATCGACACAACCATGGATAAGATGTTGTATATGAACATCCTGAAGAAACATGTCAAGCCAACTGTCGAAAAACTCAAGCTCCCATCGGATTATTACTTCCAGCAAGATAACGACCCAAAGCATACAGCTCACATCGTCAAAGAATGGTTGCTGTATAATGTGCCAAAGCAGTTGAACTCTCCACCTCAGTCGCCGGACCTCAACCCGATCGAACATCTGTGGTATGAACTTAAGGTACGGGTCAAGAAAAGCCATCCTACGAACAAAAACGACTTGAAGTTGAAGATAATGGAAGCATGGAATTCGATTCCATCAACAGTCACGAAAAAGTTGGTGGAATCGATGCCCCGCCGACTGAAAGATGTTATTGATGCCAAAGGAGGACACACCAAGTACTAAATCCAGTACGAAATCGATCATTCATGAACATTTTTATAAGTTTTCATAAGAATTGAATTGATGTACGCTCAATTTTGTGTCGCGAAAAACCTTGTCATTTTATCATTTGATTTTATTAAAGACATAAGTATCACCATTTGTACTTTTCTTTCACTCATCATAAAGATCGAATAATAACAATATGGAAGAATAAAAAAATATATTTTTTTAACTTTAAACAAGAAAAAAAATCTGAAAATAAACTCGGAAACAGACGTGTACGCTCAATTTTGTGAGTAACTGTATGCTGAAAGTTCTAAAAAATAACACCAAGATAAGACCAGGTACAGGTTAAAAAATTTAAATCGATTTGCGGTCTTGGACAAAGTTGTTTTGCTTAGTTTTACCAATCTAAGTTGCAGGTATGTGCAACGTGTGATTTTTTTTTTTCAAGCAATTTAATATTTTCCTATGTTTCTCATACATCAGGGAGTTGTAATCCGCCGTACAAACTTGACCCACCCTAATATCCATGCCATATAAGCAATGTAGCTACTTATGTATTCCAGCTTCCTTTGATATGTTCCTTTGTTTTTACAAAAACATACTCAACTAACTTAAATCAGCAGACAAACAAGGAAGAAACTATCACGTTTCACGTGAAGTGAGAGTAACCGATTTTCATTTCAAAGTTATGAAATACATCTGATCTGCATTCCGCATTTCTACATTATTGAAAACCTACACCGAAGCGGAAGAAACTACCTACATTGTTAAGGGATGATTCAAATATGACGTCAACAAGTTTTCAATTTTTTAACCCCCCTCCTCCCTCTCTTCCTTGTGCTGCGTATTTTCATATATTTATTATTAGTACTGTTGCAAATTCTAGAACCCTCTCTCCCCTCAAGAATGGTCGTCATATTTGAATCGCCCCTAATGCAAAAAATGATAGGACTACGTGAGCAATGTCTCGTTCTCTTCAATGCATCTCCGGTACCTTATCCGAGATGCGCAAAGGTGTTGATATGCGGCAGGTTGGGTTTTGACCGTCACGCACCATTGACGACCATTACGACTTTCTCCAATTCTCTTTGCCGCATTTCAACAACAAAACCACGCCACCAAAACACGACGGTAGAAAAATAATAACAAAACGATTGCATACAATGTATAGGGGAAAGTGGGGCAATATGGCCAGCAATGGAGCAATGCTTAAAAAGCAAGTTATTGAACATATTTTACAAAAAATCTGTTGCGGGCTTAATGCTTGAAGCCTACTTCATCAATCCGTTTAATTTAAGTATAAAAAAATACTTTTCTTTAGAGCAAATATTCGAAAAATGTTAGACTAGCTCAAAATGTCAAAATTGTTATAAGGTTTCTGTATCATAAAATAAGATATATCAGTAGTTTCTTATAACTTATCGTTGATATTCCTTCAGCAGCTTTATAAATGATCATTGGGTTCTTATATAACACGATGTTTTTATTCTAGATTTTAATAAACATTAAAGATTTTCTTAACCAAATATTACTTAAGTCCATTCGGCACCACTGATATTTCAACTTAAATTCTTCAATTTTGCTTTATTCTTTTCATAAATATGACTGTATATTATGAAACCACGTTTTGAAGCTGCTGCTTTGGTGAAAAATTAGTCATTCACAAGTCTGAAAAATATAGTCCTAAATTGGCAGTACTTCATAACTTTTCATTGTTGACCCTTCATAAAGCCTTAAGAGAAAATAATATTCTTACCCGTTGTTGACAAGGTCGCACGTACCACCGAGGCAGGGTGCTCATTTTACCCCCAACGGTTTAATATATTTTTAAATCTTCTTGCATAAGATTCAAAAGTTTGTAAATAGGGTTTGATGTAAATAGGGTTTGAAACTATCCACTTGGTTAAACATCATTAGAATTTTCCACTGAATTTTGTATGATTAGCGATGATTTTCTTAAGGTGGCCAAACTGCCTCACCTTCCCCTACATCTTGTTGATGAATCACGTCAATGAAGAAAAACGCTTGAATATATCCACCTAGCAACGAACTTTTATATAATTTAAAATCATTTTGTATTCTACCATTTATAAAACCAGCAGTACCAGATCACATTTGGATCTCAGATCACGATATCATGTGATACCCATACTGTTTTGTTGAAAAGAAATGTTTGAGAAATTGCGATATCGTTTATGTCATCACACTTCATGCCAATTGTCTGCACCAGCAATGATCTAACAGACGATTTGATGCTACAGCGAAACAAATTGCTCAAGTTCAAGGTACGAGCATGTGGTCATTGTGCGATTGGACGTATGTCATGTATGCTTTTCGGAATCATTAGACCGGGGCATTTTGATTTGGTACTTATTTTTCCTGTCAAACATGTATTTGCTAGTTTCCCATCGAAAATGTCCATCTAATCAAGATGGTGATTTGTTTTTAGTATACGAATAATAAAATATCCATCGGGGTATAATGGAAGATTATGCATTTGCGAGGGTGTGTACGTCTACGATGCACCCCTATTATTCTTCATGTAAATATCAATGGCATTATTCAGTCAATGTTATTACATCTAATAATTACTGTAAATAGCTGATTTCATGAATGTCTAATACATTTTGAGCTGTATCCTTTATGTGTGTAATAGTAAAAATGCTTCGCCTAATCATGCTTCAAGTGTTGATGTGACCATGAATCATACAATACACGCGCATACATACAGTACCGGACATAAGTATATAAGCCACTAAAAAGTTCAGAGAGCTTTATCTGTTTCGGATTATTGAGGTGATTTTTTCAAATCATGGCTGCTAGTTGGGCAAGATTTATCTGTTAAATTTTGGGCGTTATTGGTTGAATCCTTTTTGAAATAGCCTATTTAAAAATTGAAATTCCAGGTGTACATGCACCAAATATGCTGAAATTTACCTCATTGATAGTAAAGACATAATATACACTAGTGCAATAACTTAACTTATGTCTTAACTATTAATAATAACAATTTCAACATATTTGGTTCATTGCACTACAGAACATTCTATTTTTAAATTAACTACTTCAAAAAGAAGCATTTTGCTAAAAATGCTAAAACTTCTTGTAGCTTCAATAGATTACGCTCATAATTTTATCGATATATTTTGAATATTTGATCAACCAGCAACTAGGAATTTTCAATATTTCATGGACATCCGAGGAAGTTATAGGTCTTTGGATTAATTTGCAAAGAAAAAAAAATCGCGATGCTATATACTTATGACCGGTGGTACTGTATGTATTTAATTACCACTGCGATACGATTTCAAACCAAAACATTTAATTTCTTTATTCACAGGAGGAGGAGGTATGCTATGGTCATATTTTCTATGTTCTCAAATTCTAATTTCTGGTAACTGAATTCTTCTGGAATGAGAGAAGTATAATTTTCGTTTTCCTATCAACTAGTGGAATAGAATATCATGCTGCATTGACATGGTGATTGCAATTATTCAAATGTGAATGAGTTTCTGAATGGGAATTCGATAGTACAGATATTTAACAATTTAGAATAAAAAATATCCACACAGTCCCAACAATCATGGCGAATCAGTCACTCTTTCATATTACGATACATCACCCTGTAGCGCCAAGTAGTGTTTCCATCGTGTACTTCTGATTCTGCACTACATTGAGGCGCATTCGTTTATCTCGATTTCCCCTCTCTACACTAGATCGACTCACCTAAAACAGTACAATATACTAATATAACTTTTTTTTCTACGCCCTTTCCTTCTCGCAGGTGGCTGCTGTGGGTCGACTAAGAAGCGCACGATAGTTGGCGGCTGGGCATGGGCCTGGTGGCTGGTTACCGATGTCCAACGGCTCTCCCTGGAAGTGATGACGCTGAATCCAATGTGTGAGATGGTGGAAACTGCCCAGGGTGTCCCATTGACGGTGACAGGTGTTGCACAATGTAAAATAATGAAGGTATTTTCAACCACCGCAATATTTATTCATGTGTATAGTACAGCTACTGACAAGAATGCCATACCCATGTATAGTGCATCCCCATTCATAGCCTTGAGCTGCGGTGCTAGGCCCAGCTCAACGAGTAAAGTATAATAGTGAATGAATAGTTCGTAACAATGTTTGATATTATTTTAATTGATTTCATATTAACCAACGATATTCTTAAATTATCAATTAACTAATTGTTTCAGCTCTTCAAGATCAATGATACATTGCGTTCAGTTTTTTATTAGCTTTGCAGTATATGGTGGTACAGCATTATATTTTGAATTATTTCTGCTATTTGAGTCGTAACAGTGCTTTTTCTGGATCATATAAATTAGATGAGCAGAGGTTAACATAATATAATCAGAAAAGCACTGTAATATCAGTAAACAGACAAAGGGATATAACCTCAAATGATCATATGATTGTACACATATAAAATTGAATTCGAATTGTATATAGGGTGGACGGCCTATCGGCCCTCCAGTTATTCTATTAGTTTGATTCGATTTATCTACACACTACAGTAATCTAATATAATTTTTTTATATTCCTTAACTAACACACTACACACACAAAATAATACACCATGACGTTAAATAAAGGAATGTATGTACATCATTTTTTTTTTACATTTCGACTGCTGGTTGACGAAGTATTCAAAGTTTATCAGTTTAATCTGTGGCTTGATTGATCTGCCTGCCAGTCTGCATGAAGTTAAAGCAGTTTGAGTAAATCTCGTCTCACTTGACTACGATTTTTTAATCTATTATTTCTCAAAGTACAATAAACCTAATTAGGTGACATTTTAATCATTTATAGGCAAAACATTGTTCTTTCAAACTACTCAAAATTTAATGAATTCCGTTCTTCATGAAAAAAGCTACAACAATTTGACTTGTATATTTCCGTCTATGAAAAATGGTTTAAACTTGTCATTTGCCGCTTTAATTTTTCATTTTGCAACCGATAGTTTTGACATGCGTTGGAATGTATTTTAGAAGGCTAATTTAAAAAGCAGTAGTCATTATTCATCATCATATATTATTAAAAATAAAAAATATAACTTTTTTCGTACAGAGTTTAGTAAATTTTGAGTAGTTTGAAACAATAATTAATAATAATGTAAAAAAAATAAGATAATTTGGTTCATTGTACTTCAAGAAATAACAGATTGCAAAATGGTAGTCTAATAAGAAGCGATGTACTAAAATTGTACTTTATACAGTCTTGATCAATCACAAATTATAGTAATTAGCCTTTCAATTAATCAACCAGTAGCCAAAATTTCAGAAATGTTGATGCATATACAGAAAAGCAACAACTGTTTTAACTTTCATGGATTGACAAAAAATCAATTTTTGATGTCCAGTACTGTACGAGTGACACTTTTGACAACAACAAAATTATAACATGAAAGACGTGAAATTCAGCTCAATCTTACGTAGGGTACTTCGCATCGAGTAACATATTCGATCTCTAAACTCACGCCAAAGTCACGAGTTCAAACCGCATCGCCTGGCAATTCACGAACAACCCAAAAGTGTTAAAATGATTATAATAATAATAAAACAAAGATATCGGGACGCTTAAGTTTACATTAAATCTAGCGTTCAGAATAATAAGGGCCTTAGTTGTGATTATCTATCCTCTTCATTGATTTTATGTTTGTATTGCTGCAGTTGAGTGAACCAATTTTCCGAAATGTTTCCAATGTAGTGCTGTAAAAGGTTGTATTGGATAGCAAAATTTAAAAAAACGCACCGAAAAATTTTAATCCAGCCGAGTTGATATATTAGAAAATTTATGAGGAGAATCGATCATTGCAGGAGGGAAGGATAGAAAGTCACCCAAATATCTAATATTTAATTCTTAAAAAATAATCTAAAGTTATCCATCATCCTACCACAGCGGAAAATATTCAAATTCAATTGCTGTTTTTTTAAACAAACAAAAACATATTATCATCATTAATGGCAGATGGCACTACCTTAATGTAAATACTCAACTCTTAGCAGCAGAGCCCTCCTCATGATAACCGATAAGCATTACAACGTAGCCCTAATTTAGCACTATATGCTAATATAGGGTTCATATTAAAAATGCTTAAAAGGCGAAATAGTGGGCTGTATGAGTACTAATATGGTTGCCTGCTAATGCTTATTATGACAGTATGAGATTGTTTAATATTTCGCTCGCATTTCTGACGAGACCAAATTAAATGGATTCAAAATTATAATTGATGCATTCTTTATTACATCCAGACACATTTTTTATTTGATTTCATAAATTGTGTTTGATATGCATGGATATTAATCTGTGTGGGATATTGTGAAAACTACCTTTGATTAGACTCGATCCGGGATATTCTGGAATATTAATCATGTTCCTGTGCTCCCTAGGCTGTGGATGAAATGATAAATGTTTCGGAAATCGGCTGTTGAAGTACTCGATCCGTGGATGATCCGAGCTACTTCAAGTGCATTCCCGAGCAGGAAAAAATAACTTATTTATACCAAATTCAGGTATGAAAATAGCATAACTGGCAACTTAAATATGGTATTAGTGAGGCTGACATAAGAGGTAAAATACCAAAAATAATACCTTAAAAATATTCTACGAATAACGAACTATTAAATAATGTAGTTATTACAATAACAAACGGGTAACAGACGCTTTTTTAGATGCCAGAATACCATATTTTGTTATTTTGAAGATCTTCTAATACCAATTCAATAACTCTTTCAGGTGTTATTGTCTAAAAACTGAAATATCACATTTTGTTATTTTGGTATTCATTTAATATTTTACAAAATATTTCGATAACTGAATACCAAAAACAAGGTTTTATACCACAAGCATACCAAAATCTGGTATCATACCACATTAAGATATTCATTTGTTATCGATTAGCTATAGGTTCCTGCTCGGGTTGTGCTGGTGTTCTTTTAACCAAATACAAGCGACTCCGAGTAGACAGAAACAAATCGTGATATTTTATCCGAGCAAGTTCTACTAGCTCGAACGCGAGTAAGAGAAAATAACTAATGAATACCTAATTCTGATCTGACACCAAAATTTGGTATTAACCAGCATGACATAAGAGGTAAAATACCAAAGAATAATACCATAAAATTACATGCAAAATACTTTGTGAATACCAAAAATTGATATTTGGATACTAAAAGAATACCTGGGTGGTATTCTTTTGGTATTGCATTATCATAATTTGGTATTGGAATGGTATTGTGGGATCATTTTTTTTGTATTATTTTTTGGTATTTTACCTCTTATGTCAGACTCATCCATACCAATTTAAGAAACATCAAGAATCAAATAATTAAAATTTTCATGATTATATCCCTTTCAAATTATTACGATATTTATTTTGAATTATTGCATCCATAATAACTCAACATTTACTGCAGTAGCTACTATGAAACATTTTTTTTTTTTTTCAATACAATAAAGACCCGATTTTGCCAGCTTTCCGCGCATCAGACTTTTATATTTGAATAATTTCACATAACTGTATTTCCAAATCTTTAACATTCATTTGATGATGATACTATATACAGGTATACTTTAGTGCAATGAGACCACTAAAATACCACAAGGGTTTCGTAGAACATTAGGGGGCTGACAAAATCGGGTTATTGCTGTATTTCTCTATAATATTTAGATGTAAATGCATGTAAATACTCTAAATTACCTTCCAAGGTGTCCTTCAAATTTATTTAGTATACATTATTATATATTTCTTATATTCAGTATAAATTATTACAGACATCTTGGAAAGTATTTATTACAGCATGCGTACAATATTTATAAGTCCTGTATGTGAACGACTTATTATCGTTTCTTTATTTTAGATTAAATATGACAAAGTAAGTTCGATGGCAACTTTTTCAATATTCTATAAATGTAATAGAAAGAGTGCACGGCCTTCAGTATTTGTGTCTATTCTTTCCCGCCGTAATCATGAATAATAAGCCATTGTTTATGGTATATTTTTTATCATGATTATGGTAATAACGAGAAGGTTACCGCAGTGAAAACAAAAATAAAATGCCTCGTTTTGATTATTACAAATAATGGATAGTAATTTCTAAACTCTCAAAACAATTACTGAGATTGTTGATAAAATTTACGTGTTGAAACTGATTTTCTATATCATTATGCTAAAAATTTTAATAAAAATAAAAGTTAAACGAAAATCCGGGTTTTAACGGATTTTTATATCCATCTTTTTACCATGATAATTTAGAAAAACATGTTTTTATAAATTGCAAAAAAAAGATTTTTTCAATCTTTTTATAAAAATCAAAACGTAAATTTGTGAAGTGGTGGTAAACTTTTCGTTGTTGCTTTTACTCTGAACTTTTTGTCTCACTCAAATTATTGTGGATTGCTTAGCAAATAGAGTGTTCATTGGAATCGAAATCACAACGTCACAATTCATTTGTCAATTAAATCAACATCTTCTTCTTATTTGGCTTTATTACATTCCTTCTAGGACTTTACGCCTGCGCTCAACATAGTGATGAAACTAACATAGGGGAAATGTCGGCTTCGGCAATACCTTAACCTATTATCGTCAAAGTCCTAGAGCACTCAAATTTGGCCAATAGATGCTCTGAAACACAATGTATCTACATGCCAAAATTAAGCTGTCAAGGACGCTGCTTACCCCCTGACAATAATAGAACAAGGTATTGCCGAAGCCGTCATGTACCCTATATTTGCAATATTCGTTTCTGCTATTTAAAGCAATCTCAAGATGATAACCATTCATCATTCATTACACGAATTGAAACACTAAAACAATACAGTATGGAAAAGTTGATTCATTGATACACAAGAACATCAAGTTGTCCGATCATTATTTTGTCATCAAACTCATTGAAGCTTTTTATATTTATTCTTTGATGTTTTTCCTTATTGCTTCATGTATATATTTATGTAAATCGATATTTGCAATTTTATGTAAATCGATATTTGCATTTAATTTTCTGCATGTGACTCATTAGGTTCATAGGGGAATGACCCCTATTTTTGAGTTGTGTTTAAATTTTTGGTTGATGATCAAAAATTAAAACACAAAACGTGAAATATTGCTTTTATCGTGTAGCAATCGTTACATCTATTCTTATGTTGCTATATATAATCCGTAGTAAGATTTCAGTAGTTAACATATTTTGTTCCCTTATTTTAGCCCTCTAGTTTTAAGTTGCTGTATTTATTTTATTACACGTATCGTTCTTATTTTTCTTGATTGTAGTGCCACCATTTAATGAATATTTTATTATTTCCACAGTAATAATTACATGAAAAAGAAATGAAAAATCTCACCCCCATTACCTTCCCATCCAATATCCGTCATTGTAGAGTTTCCGTTTCCGTTTTAGTTTTCCGAATTTTATTTTGCGGATTTTTTTAGTAAAGCTTTTAGTTGAGTACACTTTTGGTTCTATTGTTTTATTTTCTTCAAATATTTGGCTTTGATTAGAGAATGAGATAGAGGTAACGATTCGATATAGATTTAGCTGTGGCGTGTTTCAATTAGTTCTCAGAGGCAATTGTCTTCTTTCTTCAGAAATTTTTTTCGGTTCTCATGTGATGTGGTGTGATTTAGTCGTTTAGTTCTGCAACTAGATTTTGTTTTCTTTACGATAAATTCGGATCGTAAAATTTTGATAAGTTGAAGCAAAATTATGCGGATTCACTCCGAGATTAGTTCACCATTAATAGGCGGTCACTTGTTTTACCTGTGTTTTGCTGCAAAAAAAAGATTAGCGCCACAAGAATGCACCCACTTCTAAGTTAGAGACAGATCAAACGAAAATTAGAACAATCCAATTCTGTAGACGGCAAACGGGCCCTCCCGGACGGATAGCCGTATCTCATTCCCTGCGTTTTTTCATTTCTTTTTCTTGTAGATGATGAACGTCTATTATTTTCACCATCAGGCCGACGAGCTGCTCGGTACCGCCAGCGAACAATTCCTGGGCAAATCCGTGAAGGAAATCAAGATGACAATCCTGCAAACATTGGAGGGCCACCTGCGGGCCATCCTTGGTAAGCTTTGGGGATCAATAACGGCTATGAATTTATTTTTCTGGCTGACTTTATCACGGCATCCAATGTTGCTTCATGTTGAAAACAAATGTTACCAATCATGCCCCTCTCCCTCCAGTTCTATTTGTGAGGCATCTTAGTCCTGCTTAAGTCATTGCGAAATCAAAGAATCCACTGCATTCAACCAACTACCCAAATTCAAGTTTCAGTTTAGTATGAAGTATCAAAATTATCAGATCTCAAGTTCAACTTAATTAAACCCAGTTACATACTGACAATGACCTTACTGTTGCCGCTATATGGATGTCGTCAGCGTCATATATTTCAAAAAATGTTAGTCCCACTATTACGCTACACTTCTTCTTTTGGCTTTATTACGTCCCCGCTGGGACTTTACGTCGGCTCTCAACTTAGTGTTCTTTGAGCACTTTCACAGATGTTAATTGAGAGTTTTCTAAGCCTTGCATTAGTATTATTGTGTGGCAAGTACAATCATACTCTATGTCTAGGAAAGTCGAGAAAGTTTTCAACCCGAAAAGTTCCTAGACCGGACCGGAAATCGAACCCAGCCGCCTCCAGCATAGTCTTGCTTTATAATTGCGTCTTTACCGACTGACCTAAGGGACGCCTATGGGACAGTGGCTATGCTACACATTCTAAACCAATCAGCGAAAATTATCTCCATGTGACGACGTTGGTTGTCTCAGATGACCGTTGAGTGTATATTCTAAAAGAAGCAGTACATTTAGCTGCGAAAATGCGCGATGTTGTCTGTTTGCGGACTGCCGCGTGTTTACCTACCCATGTACACGGAGATGAAAAACTACCCAAAATGAAGTACTTTTCTCTCAATTCTCGGGTTCAGCCCAATAAACCAAATTTGAGTAAATCGTAGTAGTTTCCATTTAACACCAGCAAAAAAAAGTACTTACTCTTAAGTATGTTCTACCCAAAATTCACGTAAATTTGAGAATATGCAATTTACTCAACAGTAACTTATTGGGCTGAACTCGTTGTTGGGTATCGTTGGGTCGAATCTCTCGTTCCTTTTTTGACAACAATAATGACTGCAATGAGGCTCAACTCAAAATTAAGTAAAAAGAATTCAAATTTTAGGTTGTATTTTTTCTCCGTGTACAAGCAGTAGTTCTAGATGGGGATATAATCAAACACTAACACCGTTCGCTGTTGTTGTTTGTACGGATATACTGATAAAGGCGCTGCGACGCTTTGCAGTTCCGTTCTCACCGTCCAACTTTACAGTTGCCTGTCCACCAGTAGACGGGGTATTGACTATAATCCTATTAACTGCAAGAATAACGTGCAAAAATCGATTATGTTTTGTTTTGTCTCGGTAGTGCAATAGTACAACATTGTGCAGTTTGTTCTAGTTAGTGGAAATAATTGACTCGTGGGACAAACGGGGACTTTTGTGCAAGAAAGTTACGCTGACAGTCAGTCATAATGCAAATTTTAAATTTAGATTGGTCTCCAACAATGTGAAAGAGCATGTCAATCACCATGTGTCGTGCAATGTAATAGTTTTTTTTTTGTGTGGATCAATCTTATCATGAAAAAAATCGTTATGGCTGAAGCTTTGCTATTGTCATGAACGAAATGGTACAGTACATAAGCCAAAGTCTCGACAAACAACACCGGTCTGGGGAACGACAGTGTCTCCGCGATTTATGATAATGCCGCATTTTTATCTTATGATTGCTGCTGAAAGATACTGATGCGCGATATCGTCGTTTGATTGATTGATTATCTAAATTGACACTGCGCATTTCTTTTCGATTAAACATAATTGGGTGTTATAATTGCTCTTGATTCACATTAATTTAAATTGTACTCAACGCATTTTTTTTTTGCATCAACATGATATTTAACGAGTTTTAAATTGTCATCAAACGAACAGATCTAGTCTTTGTTGTGTAACATTATTTTTGAAAAACATAAATTTTAAGCTAGGGGTGCGACATATCTAAATATTAATTTTTGATGGAATTTTTTTAAATATCCATCAATCTTCATTTTATCTACTAAGCGTGTGTGCATCTCACAACAGTAAAGCAAAAAAATTCCTGTATCTTAGATAGAGTCACCTCCTTCTTATTATGTTATATAATAAATATAAAACTATTTGAGTAAAAACACAATAGAGTTTTCGCAGAGAATTATTTTCAGAAAATTGTTCACTACACAGGACTGTATCAACTGTATAAATGAAAATTAGAATCAATTACTTTACTTGACTAGATTTTTGTCAATGATTAGTTTGAATGCCACTAGACAAAACGCCATTAGACGGAGTGCAATTATACAAACGGGTAATTCAAACGAAATTTTAGTAATGATCCATACTTCGTTGTATTTTTGACTTTGACCAACTAATTAACAGCAATGAAAAGTTGACTAAACACTGTGTGTTATTAATTCACGATACTCAATCATTTCTTCAATATAACTCAAATGAACAAGTCATACCTGTGCGGCATAACAGTCTCATTACAATAGGAAATCAAGCAAATATGGGACTGTTATGCCGTACAGGGCAGTAAAAGGATAGATAATATGCAGTTTTAAAATATTATATCGGGGGGTGTTTGAATTATTAAATTTATCATAATTTTCCATACAAATGTCAACGACGGCTCTTAAGGGCCAAAACCTCCCCATGTAAAATGGACCCACAATTTTCTCCGATATTATATTTTATTATAGGGAAAATGTCTCTAATGTTGGCCTATGGATCTAAGCTTGGGCCCATCGCTAAAAATCTGCTATTTATCAATTTTATCTAGATGAACGCGTTATTTCCAAGTAGCATTGCAAGCAGGGTTACTTCCACTCACTTCGCTATAAAAAAAGTTTTTCGGAACTATGGAATCATTGGATGCTATTATGAAAGTTTGAACTTGTCAGAAACAAGAAGTGGTTGGAAGGTATGTATTTGACACATAAAACCTGCCAATTTCGCTTTCATTGCGTCACAATCAGCCAATTTATGACTCGTGAGCGTTCACTCAGAGTGAGCGCTCACGAATCGTAAAATCGCTGATTGTGACGCACTGAAAGCAATAATGACAGGTTTTATGTGTCAAACACCTAGTTTACAACCTTATCTTGTGACTTTCAACTACTAACTATCATTATAATATCTAATGATTTCATAATTCTGAAAAACAGTTTTTTATGGCAAGTGAGTGGAAGCAAGCCTGATTGCAAGTTTTATTAAGGTTTTAAAGCACTCTACAAGTCTAAATCATGGTCTCCAGAACCCTCATAAAACCCAAATTGTTACTTGGGTTGGGACGTTACTAATGGATATGTTTGGTTGCTATTTAAAATTTAGTCGATTGCTGAATTTATGTATGGCTCAAATTAGGGACACTTAGGCCGACAATACCTGCATTTCCCCTATTTGGTGAAGAATTACCCAAGGTACATGGAAGTAGGCGTGAAGCATCTCCCTCCTCACTAAGAGCGTCTACGTCATTTATTATCAGCTCCTCGTCGAAGATAGGCAAATTGTTGGCCAACTCTGGAGTGGCATAACTTCGTCAAATATTGTTCGATTTTGTTTTCTTCCAGAAGCAATCAACTGTGCGAAAATGAAACTTTCCCCTGCTACAGGTTCCGCCAGAGGCATCCTAGTAGTTCCGAGAGTGGCCAATGTGGTCATTATGACCCATTACAAGTCTATGGAAAGCCTATTCATAAAAATCCTTGAATAAAGAGCTGTCGTATGATATATTTTACCGAGTATAATATCTGATCGCATTCAGAAACCTCCAGAACCGATTGCATTGAATTTACCATATCTCGGTTGATTTCAAACCGATTTTAGTTCTTGTAGTAGCATTTGCTATGGAAAAAGTTCTACTTTCAATGTATTAACTAAAATTATAGATTTCAAATCGGCATCCTAAAAGTATCGCATAAGAAATGAAGGATGTATTCGATAAAAATGGCACACAAAATCAATGAACTTAAACTTTTAACTATTCAACCAAATTACTTGAAATTTTCAGTGAAGATTTTTTAGTCCATAACGTACACACTGTTGCCCAAGTATTCCCATCATAGGGAGACTTAGGCTCTGAACCATTTGGTGGATATTTTTAACTTTTGGTTAAAATTTGACAGATGGAAAGTTATCGATGATTCGAATATCGAAGGTTATTTCTGACAGACAAAAAGTTGATTGATTTTTCTATTGGAAATTTTAATCATATTTATAAAATTTTCTGAAGGCCTCGCATTATTTCTGAACCATCGCAAAATTCTTGAAATTATTTAAATATTCCATAATTGCTTTGAACTCCTTGAAATATTCTGCAATTTTCCTATAATAAATTAAACTGACATGAAGATCTCTTATCATCAACGAAGTTCCAGGAACTTCCCGAAATATGATGAAACTACCAAACAATCTATATACTTCTCTGAAGGTCTCTAGAAGTTCTTGAAGATTTCTGCACATTTTAAAAGATTTCGCGATTTTCTTAAACATAATCTGATCGTTGCTGAAGTTCCAGCATTTTTTGCAGTTATTTAAACGGCATTGAATACCATGAAACTTTCTTAAAATGATCTCACATTATCCTGATGCTCATGTAATCATGTTTTTCTTATGTTTCTACAATTTAAATAAAAGTCTTGGTACTTTGATGAAGTTTCGGAAATTCCCTGAGTTTCTTGGAACTACTCAAACATTTTTCAATTTCCTTGAAATAGGGGAAATGGATGCAATGTCAGTCTAAATTCCCCTAATTAGGGCCCATACAAAAATTCACAAAGCGATTAAATTTTCAATAGCGACCAAAACCATCCATTAGTACCATCCCAATGACGTTTTCATCTAGATAAAATTGATAAATAGCAGATTTTTAGCGATGGGCCCAACCTTAGATCCATAGGCCAACATTAGAGCCATTTCCCCTAAGTTTATTTTTTTATTTATTTATTTTTTCCATTCCTGAAGTACTCTCAATTCTATTGAAGTTCTTGAACTGTCAAAAATTTCTCGAAGTTTTTTTCTGAATTTTATTGAATTGACCGGAATTTATTGGAGCTTACGCATACAAATCTTCGATCTTCCCTGAAAGTCTGGAATTTCTTGAATTTCTCGAAGTTATGAAGTTATTGGAATTGCCATGGAAGTTCTTTAAAATGTCAATTTTCCTTATCTTCATATCTCTGAAATTATTTTGACTTCCCTAAAGTTTTCTGGATATCCCTGAATTTCTCAAATTTTATTAAAAGTTCCTGCAGTTTTCTGAAGCTTTTGTAACCGTTTTAAAAATCCTGAAGTTTGCCTGAAGTTCACAAAAATTGAAAGAAATTTTACGGAACTTTCATTTTGTTCCCGCAGTTTGCATATGAAACTTCCTGAAATCCTCAGTACTTCTTTTCATTCCTCAGACTCTCCTGAAGATCTCTATTGTTGCCTGAAGTTTACGGAACTTCCCTTTTGTTTTCCTAATGATGTTCCTGGAATTGTTCATAAATTAATGGAACTGCCCAGAAGATCTTTAAATTTCCCTTTAAACATGGATCTTCTGTCTAGCTTTCTTAATGTTTTTGAGTTCATTCCCTGAAGTTGTTTTACTATCCTTAAATGTTCGGAACTTCTTGATGGTTTCCTCTATTTTACTGAAATGGATCTGTCATAAAGTTCCCGAAACGAACCTAAAGTTTTAGGAACGTCCCTCAAGTTCTCACAGTTTTCCTGATATTAATGGAACTGCCCTAACATTATAAGAATTTACCAGAAGTTCACGTACCTTACTTATAGGTCCTGAATTTAATGGAATTGCCCTGAAGCTCTTGATCTTCGCTGAAGTAAATTTTCCTGAAATCTATTAGATTGCCCTGGAGCTGTCGAACGTTACTCTTAAAGGTCTTTAAACTTCCCCACATTTCTATCAATCACAACTTCTAAAGGATTCAAATTTTTTTTTTCTGATGATAATAGATCTACCGAATAAAATTCGACCAACCGAGCTTGATACATTCACATGCTAAAATATGTAATCTAGTAATCCAGATGGGCTTCCAAAAATGCCTTTATGCATTTTGGTGCACAACTTTTAAAAGATGAGCATACGAAGATCAAAACTTTTCACGAATTGACCACTTTTATGGATGTTCCGGATCTCCCAGAGGACAGTTTCGTGACCACCAGTGAGCGCATGCTTGTCCCAAATTCAAATTCATTTATGTAGCATCACAAGTGATTTAAAAAAAATCGCTGGCTATTCGGATCTTCCGGAGGACTTTTTCTTGAGTACCTGGGTATGTAGTTGAATCTTAACCTTCAATTTTTAGTCTTCGTGGTTAGATATATCAATATTGTCGAAAAAAAACAATCACAAAACTCTGTGATCAATTTCAGTTCGAAGTTCGACGATAAGTTTAGCAACTATCGGTGCGAAAGCCAAAAACGTAAATTCACAATCGTGATAGCAACGACCGGTGCGTAAACAAGTTGCTAACTAAAATAGCAATGGCTAAAGTTGTCAAACTAGCAGCCCAAATAGCACCGCATTGATGCGGGTGCTCTTTGGGACCATTTCTGCAAAAAAAAATAGTAAAAACTAGTAAAAATGGCTAATGTACCACTTTGACTCTTACGGTTCATATGTGCAAAGCCAGTTTTGAATCAAATGAGTTCAAATTTCAGGAGGATGATCAGATTTCGACCCGTTTGAACCCTGAGATACCAACATTGTGAAATTTCAGTCTATTGAGTAGTAATCTTCTAAACAAATTTCTCAATGAATTTCCCATGAATAAAAGATTAAATTAAATATACATCACATCCAAAGACCTATTCGATTACAAACATGATTTTAAACTCATTACTAATTTGCTGGAAATTGTATTTTCAGATCATTAAATATGTTTATGTCATAGCTTAACAAGCACTGCCGTAATTATAATAAAGTATGAGTTTACGATTAAACTGAAGAAAAAAACTTTTTATGACTTTGACATACATATTTCTTAGGACAGGAAGCCATTTTTCCCATCATAGATTTGACCATCAGAAACGCGATTAAGTTATAGAAACTGTTCTTGGGAAACTTGACTTTTATCAATGCAACGCCTGATATATGATATCATTCTTGCAAACCGGCTTGCCTGTGAATTTAGTGCATTCTATATTGCTACCTTTCGGGCACGTTTTCCTTCTAATCGATTGCAATCTGAGCAACTTCTTTGCAAAGTCGCAGTGCATCATGTACGTAGCAGAAATGATAAGTACCTACATTGTCAGCTGTCCAGTACAGTGCAATTTATTTTGCCGTTGGCATTGATTGCATAACGTTCCGGCAACCGGTCTTTCTTAGACGTTTTTAAGTCGTTTGACTCGAACAGCTAATAAATACATGACTGCACTGTCAGCAGCCCTCGAATGTATAGTGAAACATCTAATTACTTAGGTACAGCTTAAAATCAAAAATGTCTTTTGTCTGGATGGGTACTCTCAAGTTGACCATGATTCTGACTGGGACATACGTGGTTGTTACAAGGTAATGATACGACTTACATCTGGTCCTTTACCTAGCATCATCAATTAATTATGGCGCTGAAAATGTGTATCATCGTCGTACCTTCTCACCTTACAGGAACTCTTACAGTCGAGGAAGTTTACAAAGATCGCGACCAGTTCGCTGCGCTGGTCCGAGAGGTCGCAGCACCTGACGTTGGTCGTATGGGCATCGAAATCCTCTCGTTCACCATCAAGGATGTCTACGACGATGTGCAGTATCTACAATCTTTGGGTAAAGCACAAACTGCCAGCGTCAAACGAGATGCCGATGCCGGTGTTGCTGAAGCAAACAGGTAGGATAACGATGTTCGTATTGCATCACGTATATGACGGTTTCTATTTATTCAGGGATGCTGGAATTCGAGAAGCTGAATGTGAAAAGAGCGCTATGGACGTTAAATACTCAACAGACACTAAAATCGAAGATAATGCTCGAATGTACAAGTTACAGAAAGCCAATTTTGATCAGGAAATCAATACGGCGGTAAGATAAATGTTAAATTCACATCGCATTATACTGAAGTCCCGTAAAATTGCACTTTAGAAAGCCGAATCTCAACTTGCGTATGAGCTACAAGCTGCTAAAATTCGCCAAAGAATCCGTAACGAAGAAATTCAAATCGACATTGTGGAACGTCGCAAGCAGATCGAAATCGAAACGCAGGAAATTGCCCGAAAGGATTGTGAACTGACGGCGACGGTGAAACTCCCCGCTGAGGCAGAAAGCTACCGTGTTCAGACGATTGCCGAAGGAAAGCGTACTCAAACGGTGGAAAATGCTAAGGCCGATGCGGAAAGGATTAAGAAGATCGGAGCTGCAGAAGCTCAAGCAATCGAAATGGTAGGTAAGGCGGAAGCCGAACGAATGCGGATGAAGGCCAATGTGTACAAACAATACGGGGATGCTGCTATCATGAACATTGTGTTGGAATCATTGCCAAAGGTATGACGTAGAATGTTTAGATTGAAAAGTTCGTTTCTTAAATGCATATCTTTGACAGATCGCGGCTGAAGTTGCAGCTCCATTGGCCAAGACCGAAGAAATTGTGCTAATCGGTGGTAATGACAGCACTACAAACGATATTTCGCGCCTTGTCGGTCAACTTCCACCAGCAATCAACGCTCTTACCGGTGTGGACCTGTCCAAGGTCTTAGGTAAAATACCTGGGGCAACGGCATAATAAACAAACGATAACGCTAATCGACCGTTGAGTTCGTTCTAGAAAACAAAAATACGATCACGTTTAAAAAAAAGTTTTTTTTTTCACACAAATCAAGCATCGCTACAATGTAAATTACTGAACAAAATGGACATCCACTAAACAGAAACATTAGTGTGCTTGACTATACATCCAAACCTTTATCTGTTTCGAGTGTTACCAGTGAAATGAAAATTTTCACATATCCGGATTTTTTAAACCACAGAAAGATGAAAACAATCAATAACAAAAACAAAATAAAACCCTGTTTCCTTAGGGTTAAGCACAAAAAAGTAACCTCAACGGTCAGTTTAATCCACCATTAGAGCACACACACAAGAATACTGCATAGAACATACAATATAATTGCAAACATTAAAGGGCTGCCTGCTGGATTTTTCATATAAATTTTATGGATTTCTGCAATATTTTCGTTTGTTCTATTTCCAACATATTTTTTTAAGCGTCAATTTACAATTTGCAACTTTCGCAAAATTACGCCTTTATGTTATGAACAATACAATTTTTTTTAATTCTTTAAAGTTTGTATTTATAATAAAGGGTGGAACGAACAAATAGCAGTCACACAAAATTGTTAATAAATTATTCATCTGTTTTATGTTATTCTGGTAGCTTACTCTCGCATGAAGCCCTGATATTATTGAGTTGACTCTATGCTTTGCCAAATACAATACACAACCAAGATCTGGCCAATACAGCTTAGGGTGTCAGTTTGTAATAAAAAGTAATGCACATTTGTTCAAACACTGCCCGACCTAATATTTATCTTGAAATTTTCGCCTGATTTTTTTTTTTTTGCTTAAGTTGTCCTGAACTGATTTCCAGAAGAGAAATAGTTCAGGACAACTTACGCAAAAAAAATAGTTGAAATTTTCAAGAAAACTATTTGGTCGAGCCCTGAACTATTTCTCTTCCGGTTGCAGTACAAAATTCATAGCCAGGAAGCTGTTTAAAATCAGCTTTCACGAAGAAAGCTTTGAATTTAATAAATGCACGTGCAGAATTTTGAAAGACTAGTACTCTTGTTTGGTAACTTCTTAAAATGAACTGCAAAATTCCAAAACCAAAAATGGCAAGAGATTTCGCAGACACACACCTTTGAAAATCAACGTTTGTTATTGTCAAAAGTGCACACTAAACAGAAATGCACTAAATTTGAGTTGACAACTTTTTACTCATTCCACCCTGTAATAAATTAAAGGTCTGTATCCACAATAGTCCGGACACATCAAAACTTAAGTAAAACACAAATATCGCATTATATTTCAATTGTAGTTGTTCATTTCAGATTCATGGGATATGTTTTAAAAATTCACAATTCAAAAGTTATTCGGTATTTGCATAAAATTTTCGAAGAGAATCGATTAATGTGCATTGGGCCTTTTGAATTGTTAGCTTGGAATTATTTTCTTTTGTCATCCACAACAGCTTTATTCGTGTATCTTGCAACCTAAGGCTGCCTCGAACTGAGTACAGACTTAGGGAAAATAATAGCTCGGAACGAACCTATGTCAGGAACGACTATCTAGCCTGGTCATGGCGCACAAATGGTTCACTTACTAATAACTTTTCACTCAGTTGTAGAAATGTATACAACACTCTAAATATTTCACACATTTTTTTGTCAAAAATTCATGTGAATGTGTTCATAAAATACATGTGCCCACACATTAACACGGAGCACTCAGACTTGCATATGAAGTTTATATGGGTACTCAGTGAGATCTTATTGTACTCTATCAATTATGTCAAGTTAAAACTAAAACGCTGTCCAGACTGGAGAGTTATAACATGTTATAACGGTTGTCAACTAATTTCAAAACAGAAACCACCATCAAGATAGCGCTATAACATGTCATAACTCTGTAGTCTGAACGTACTATAAGGCTGTGTCCCAATTGTAAGTTAAAATTTAACTCGTAGTTAAAAGTAACAGCTGGAAACTTATCGATTAATCCTGTTATCCGAGTGTGGATATTTCTGACCGGAAATCTGGTCGAAAATCGGTGGATCGATAACACAGGAAAAATAACTTTCTAAATATCACTTTTAACTCGGGCTAAATTTAACTCGGCAAATGGTACACATCCATCAATTGAATGAACAGTTCCAAAGATCCAATTGAGTGAATATTTATTAACACAATAGCAATTTATGTGGTTAACTGTGTTTACCAGGCAAGAGTCTGGTCAACCAAAAATTTCAAGCATGAATTTTCAAAAGGACGTATCTGATTTTGTAAACAAAGATTCAAACGCTATTTTTCGAAACTCTTAGCTCGGCCGCAAACCGACACCATCAGGTAGAGTAAAGTTTTCCCGAAAATTATGATGGTGTTAGTCTGCGTGGGTTCAAATCTCAGCCCGGGCATGTCACGAATGACCCAAGAATGTGACTAGGTATAATTAAAAAAAAAAAAAAGATTGTTAAAATTTGTATTTATACCAAAAATATTGACAACACCGGAACTACTGGATGAAACCCCAATTTGGAACTACTTTTTTACTTGACAGATTGTTGAAATTTTTACGTGTAGTCAATCTTCTAAAGCACTCTAATTTACCGGGAAACAGACCAATCATTAATAATCATAAGTGCTTACCGGAAATATGGTGATCGTACTTGTATGACGATGAAATGCAGCGCAGTATTTCGAAAAATCTGCCAACTTGTTTGGATTGCCTACTATTCTAGATTAACATTTCAACTGGTCCTATCTGCATTGATGGAGTCATTAAATCGGTTTTCTCTTTCGATAACTACGCCCATCCAAACACATTTCGAATTACCACATAGAGATTTCTAAAGTATGATTGTGTCATTGATTTGTGTTCATCGGGAAAATTTTCCGCTATGATTTTTTTCCCGATGAAAACATTTTGCGTATACGTATACGTGACGTAGTGTGTGTACGATAAACGTCAGCAATCTCTATAGTTTGATGATGGATGGTATTAGCTGTGTTTAATGACGCAGCTCGCACTCGGTCAAAGATGGCCAGACTTACTCATTATTTTCTGTCAAAAATAACTGTCAAGCCTACCTCGAGCGACTATATACGAGCTTATTCAAGCTTGCTCAAAGATCACAAAGAAATCACATCGCATTCGGTTCAACTTTGAATGAATGAACACCAGCACAGGCAAGGAACGCCAATAAAGAGATAGCAAGTTGTTGCGATATGTTTCGATCTCTCATGAAACAAAGCTATAATCTCGAATGAATACAACAGGGACTACTCTTACATCTAAATTAACGAAAGAGAATGTCGTTGAAGAGAATAGATCAAGGCAGATGGGACCATTTGAAATGTTAATATAGTATTGCATCGGTTATTTTGTAATATTGATGTAAGCGTAAGAAAATTATCGAAGATTTTATTCTACAATACCAGCAACATCCTTACTCCTTAGTGTTTGCAAAACATCAAAAAATCAAATCTCACCAAAGATCAAGATCATGCTTGATTTTCGTAGACAAAAATCAACATTCAAACAACTGTGTTGATATTGCAAGCTATGATACCGCAGTTAGGAATATCGAGCTAACAAAACTCACCAGCTGCAAATCTCACCAAACTGTGGTTAGATTGAGTTTCATGATTTTTACTTTACACTCGAGCGCAGCAGGCTGGCAGCAGTAGCTTCGCGTCTACCATCAGTGAAGAGTAAAGAGAGATAGCATTATTATATCTTCTCTTTCTAAGAAAACGAGGTTCAACGGGAAGAGATGAACTAGCCTATGGCTAAAAATCTCTCAAATAAAGAATAAAAAAAAAAAGGTGCAACGGAACCATTTTTGCGTCGATTCAACTCTCAGCTTCAACTTTACACGCTGTGAATAGTCTCGCAATATTAAAGGAGCTTGTAAAATCAATATTTAGCACACAGCAAAAACATGTAATTTTAATCAACGGAATTCAAGCTGATGTATGAAATAATAATGTAATAGCCAATGGATGTAATTTTGTTCGCAAAATCGATGTACATCGTACAACGTAATATTACACAACCGGCGGAATGATCTCTGTATCACGCGTATGACAGCGGAAAAATATCAATTTCTTCTTTTCCTTTTTTAACGTCGGTCTCTGTTCCGCAATCTAGTACCAATCACCGACGTACATCGATTGCCATCCATTGACGGCAATCGAATGTGCTGGAAGGCAGCTTCCACACCTGCGTAGGATATCGCACCCATTCAAACACACATGGACCGGGACCAACGGCTTTACTTCCTTTCCGAAGGAAGACGTGACCAGAGATTTTTATGCCTTCAGAAAAATCCCACCGGCCTCGGCTGGGATTGAACCCAGACCCATTGGGATGTGAGAAAGCAGTCATGCTTACCACTACACCACCGGCGCCGGCAAAAAGATCAATTTGCAAATGATTATGTCATGATTATGCCATGATCCTGAACGATAGATAAGTACCCCACCATTTTTCATTTTGCTTCCACATAAGGCAAAAAAATATAAAAAAAGCCGGAATTGGCATAAGTCGTGTTCATAATTGCACTGTAATCAGCAAATCGGGTCAGATAACTTTGCATTAGTTTTGAGATATATATGTGAACCCTTGGTTCGAAATTGTTATAACATTATAATAGTTAGTTATATGTGTAGGTGATACTTATTATGATAAGATTATCACGATTCTTTATCCTTCAAATTGATATTTATTGTATCATTATGATGTGCAGTCAATATTTCCTACGAAAAATACCACAGGCAGCCCATTTATTTTTTTTAAATAAAATTTCAAACAAAAATCATGATTGCATTGTTTCTTTCACTAAGTTGGCAATACGCTACCACCAATCCAGATTCGTCGGATAAAGCGAGGGTAGCTACCAATGTTCTATCAATGCTATAAGGGTTCATTTTTTATTATGTAGGTCTTTATTAGTTTAACTCAACACGATTGTCATACCCAATTTGCGAATACGAACAGAACATATACACTGAACATACGACATCAAACAAACAAAACTACTGCCAGTAAGGTCAAAAAAAAAGAGATGCCATTCGAAAACATTTGATTTCTATTGTAACACACCTTTGCTTCTCAATCCACTATTTTTCACTAGTATTTAACTAATTGTTGTGTTTGTATAAAGTCTATACCATTGGGCATTTACCAATGAAAGTAACTGTCACAAGGAAGCACCCATTAAATGTGAACTTTTTTGTGTTATGAATGTTTTTCAACCCCCTTCAAATATAGATAGCCATTTACAGGAGCGAAGAGTATCATTGAAACGAATAATGAAAAAAGCACGATAATGCTAAAGCAAATAATTCCTATTGTGTTCAACTTACAAACGATAATGAAATCATTCGTATTAACACATTCGACAGAAATTTTATCTGGAAAATTCGCAAAGCATTTAATGATCTATCAACCCACATTGTAAATCTAAATACAAATCGTAACCCTTCTTCCACATTCTACCCTCTTCTGTTAACTCATTTCGTTTGGTCCACATTAATTCTATAACTATACGACTATTCTCGAAGCCAACTTTTTTCTCTCTTGTAAGAAACAAACCTGTAGAAAAACATTCGTAAGATAGCGAATCCTCCTATATGTAATAGTTTACCACAGAAGCAAATAGGTAACCAAGTATGTCAGTAGAAATCAATAGTAAATGCGAAATACAAAAGCCCCTCCATCAAAAGAGCAGGACTTCGAAATTACAAAGATATTATAAACTAAAAGTCGTCACTGTATTAAATGTCTTTGTCTTAAAGCGAAAAATACACAGTGAAGATCAAAATTTTCTGTTACTCCCCTACCAACCTAAGCTATGCTTGAATCAGATAGTACACAGCTAATGAGAGTAACTCAGAGAATGAGTAAAATTTTTTGCTGTCATTTTATCTCACGCCAATTTTACTCAGTTTCGTAAAAAGTGGAGCTACTCAGAGTTCTCAGAGTAACTATGTCAAAACTTCAAAACTGAGTCAAATTTGCAAGAGAAAAAAAGAGACTCAGTCTCTGAGTTACTTTCATCTCCAGTGTAAAGAACATCGTACCATAGCATTCTTAGAATACAAGTTGAATTTCCACCGCATTGCTACTTATAGAACGTCTAGCGAAATGAAACACATTCTGCTTCAACAAATCAGCATAGCAGTATCTTTAGCTAAACTTCGGATTACAAAGCATTGCATGCATAACCTCTAGGACCGTACAAATTTGCCGAAAAAAAAACATTCAGCAAACTTGTTGTCATTTCCGCTGTAGTAAGCAAAATGAGTCGAAATTACATTGTACCCTAGTGCAAAATCCACAGTGAGCCGATTTCACAACCAACAATGAGGAAATAACTAAGGGAAAACAGAACCTAGTTGCAGAAACAAATGTATATTTTTATACTCCTTATATATTAAAAACTAGGTGAAAAAATCAATATACAAAAGGAAAGATATTGAAATCATATTTTTGAAGTCGTGTAGAATTAGAATGTACTCTAACGAAAAACAAAAACTATATAGACACAAGCAGCAAAAGCATCTCTGCTATATACGTCAACCGGTAAGAAAACTATTTTGTTGTGTTCCTTACACGAGAGCTTTCTTTTCAACTAACAACTCGAAGATAAAACAACTAATTTAACACCTCTCTAATATTAATAGGATGTTACTACTTCACTAACTCACATACGTTACTACTAACACCAACTTTATTTGATATTATAAGTTTCTAAAAATTGGGGTGCTGGGTTTTATCTTTAAATAGAATATTTAAAAAAAAAGTTAACCTTTCATAACCAAAAAAAAAATTACACCTTTTATCGACACAGTTTCCCTACCTTCATTGAATGATCGATCGAGAACGAAAGGTTGAACCAAATATATATGAAATGCTTAACGGTGTTCCCATCAGTCCCTAACATGTTTTCCGAAAGAAGTGTGGATGTGTAATTCTGTTTCAAAGTAATCGATCATAATTATCTTAGAATTAAATTCACTGCAGGTTAGCAAAATTATTTTCGTCGAAACTAAACGAACATGTAATCACAGTAACAATGTTTATTTGACAATTTGTACTAAAACGAGAGTTTAAAGTGTAAAGGAAAACTTTTAGTAAATATATATTGAAAATATGTAACACGATCTAAATAAATCAGCATGTAAGGAGCAGGGTTAAGTTCATTGCTAAACCTTCGAAAGCCTTGGATAGTAAACATATACGCATTGATACTTCAACACAGTGAGATATGTGAAAATTGTGGCTTTTCACTTAATCAAATCGGACCCTGACCCTGAATTGGAATCTATTTTTTTTTCTTGCTGAATTTGTATGAGAAACTGATACTTCCGGTAGCGCTTTACAGCTAGAAATCGTGGACGCTAAAGGAAATCGAATAAAAAAAAGTTTTCGTACACACTAAGATTATTTTGCCGAAATCTGCTGAACGTTCGGTAAACAGTTCGGTTAATTTTTCACCGATTTCCTGTAATTTTTCAACGAACATCTGTGAAAAATCTCAGAAAATCTGTGAAAAATCAACCGAACTGTTTACCGAACGTTCAGCCGTTGAGATTTCGGTAAAATTTCACAGATTTCGGTAAAATAATCTAAGTGTGTACGTTAAGTAAGTGCTGTGAACATTATTCTTCGATGCCAAAATCTCGGCTGTACACGACGATAATGACAAAACAGTTTTCGTTACTATCTTAAAATGGAAATGAAGGATGCCATGTTGGGACTATAATATTTACTTCTAGATAGATCTAGCTGATCTGTTAGGCCCTTATTCTAGCTCTATCTAGATTTAACATGACATTTGTCATTTACAACAAAATTAATGAGATTTTGACAAAGGTTTTTGTGAGAGTAATTCTTTCAACGATGTCAAACATAATATTGTCACTCTAGTGTGGAATCTTTCAAAGTAAATGACAATAATCAGTACTGATTTGGTAGACCCAGCACACGTTTGCTTTTTGCTGCTGAAGAGAACAACACTAGGTCGATTAACGTCCTTAATGGAAGCGATTGCTCAGGACCGAGTCTAGTGGAGCCAAAATCTCGGTTCGGCATAGATTCAACGGATTGAAAAAATTGAAATTTAAAAATTGAATAAGATGGAGGTTCCCTCGGAAGTCGCCATTTTGGATTATAAAATAATGTCAGACATAAATTCCCTCTACACGTCACCCCCGTTCCCCGCTTATTGTGAAGAATCTTTCTTTGTTCGTATATCGGAAGTCTATTGGATTACAAAATGGAGTAACACGTTGTTGCGCTCCGAAAATACCGGAAGTCACCATCATGCATGTTCCGTAAAAAAAACTGTACATATAGTATCTGAATTATGTAGAGTATGTTCTGTAACTGAATAAAAAAATGAGAAGTAGCCCCAAATATTTGATAATTTTGAAAGTGCGATAAATTTCCTATAAAAATTGATCAAAAGTTTCTGATTTGAGTAGTTAAAATGATGATGATGATGATGATCCCATCTCCTACCCAAGGTTTGAGCTGGACGGTTTATCTTTATGATAATTAAGTATAATATAGATTAGCAAACAAAAACTAACTGGTTACAGTTACAGATATAAATTCCCATTACAGTTTACAGTTACTTTACAGCGATATAAATGTGAAAAAGCTTAGCTCTTGTTCGCCCTTTTGTCAACCTCAAATATTCACAAGTATTCTCAGCGATCAATAGTTCATGTATAAACAACAATTACTTTAAAATACTTTTTTTTAATTACTGGTTTTGGAAAATGGTCATTACATTTAGCAATAATTAACACAATGGAAACAAATTTACTGATCTACGGATCGTACTACTTGAAAAGTTAACAACACTGCTTCGGACGTGTATCATTCATCACGCAGCAGCTCAACACAGGCGATATGCGGTCCGGAGAAAAGGCTCCTCGCAAGCTTGTTACTGTGTTTACACTTATGCTATTTAACTAGCGGCAATGAGCTAGCTGCTAGCAAAAAAAGCTCACTAGCATAATGTAAACAGGGCACCAGCGTCTACCAGCATGAGATTTCAGAAGCAACTGACAGCTCCTACTTTTCATGTCGCGCCGCGTTGCGGAAAATAGACTATATCAATTTTTAAATGACCATTGCGAGAAGTTAAGAATGGTTTTGAAGGCATTACTTTTTTTGCCACCTTGCCTAACTTAAATTAAGTAACGTGTAAAAATAACATCAAACAGATGGTGCTCTCTCAAAATTATGTTTTATCATAAGTTAAAATCGAAACACTCGAAACAATTGTCAAAAACACAGCATGCATTCCATAATTAGTCCTAGCTTGAGTATGTTGAGAAACGTATGGGAAAGAAGGGCAGGTTTTCTGACGTTCACGTTCAGTTTTCTAAGAAGCTCTGGGCAATCGATATTGGATGTTAGTAAGTCGCTGACGAAAGAAGCTTTCACACTTAGAAATGACTACCAACTTCGGTAATTTTTACCGATGTTTCAACAGCTTCGGTAAAAATTCGGTAAAAATCAAACATTTTAATTCATTCGCTTTAAAGCTTAAAAACAAGGAAAACTTCACCACAATGGCAAGACTCGATTATTTCAAGCTTATTGTTTATCGCATATTAATTTTCCACAGTTATTAATTGAGAGCTTTCGATGCCTGCACCATTTTTTCATTAGTATAATTCCGTGGCAAGTACAATCATACTCTATCCGCAGGGAAGTTTAGAAATTTTCCATCCTGAAAAATTCCTATACCTGACCGGGAATCGAACCTAGACACCTCCAGTATGGTCTTGCTTTGTAGCTTTACCGACTGAGCTAAGGGAGGCCCCAACGATGAGTGAATCAAGATTAATTAACCTGCATCGATCAGCATACCTGTGAAAATTAGTACGGTCAGTCCATGGTAGGTGACGAAGTGCGTAACGTACGAACTTCCGTTGGACGGCTTCGATTCTATTTATTCCGTTTTGATAATACGGCACGCACCCACACCATAGCAGAATACTCGAGCGAAAAACGCACAAAGCGCAATATAATAATGCCTTCAAGCCATACAGGTGTGTAGAAGAAAATATCTCAGTCATACAAAATTATGAACGTGATACCAGAAAACGATATGGATAAGCATGACATAAGAAGTAAAATATCACAAAATAATTTAAAAAAATGTACCCGTATTTCCGTTTGAATATCAAACGAAGCAATTCCTATATCATATCAATTACAATAAAGGGTGATACGGTCAAAATTTGGTCAAGGGAAAACGCGTGTAAATCGGTGAAATCGTTTATTTAAAAAATCAAATTAAATTTCTTTTTCAAGTTCAATTAGTATAAAATTCAGGAAAAATATTCAGTTAGGCTTCCGCTTTTCCAAATCCGAATTGCCGGGCCTTACGCTTGACCCCTGCCATCAGATTTTGTACAGCCACCTTGTCCACCTTCTTCGCCGCAGAAAGCCAGTTTGCCTTGAACTGCTGCTCGCCCTTAGCAGTTTTTTTGGTCTTCTTTAGGTTCCGCTTGACAATAGCCCAGTATTTCTCAATTGGGCGGAGCTCTGGCGTGTTGGGAGGGTTCTTGTCCTTGGGAACCACCTGCACGTTGTTGGCGGCGTACCACTCCATGGCCTTTTTACCGTAATGGCAAGATGCCAATCCGGCCAAAACAGTACGGAACAACCGTGTTTCTTCAGGAAAGGCAGCAGACGTTTATTCAAACACTCTTTCACGTAAATTTCTTGGTTGACAGTCCCGGAAGCTATGAAAATGCTGCTTTTCAAGCCACAGGTACAGATGGCTTGCCAAACCAGATATTTCTTTGCGAACTTTGACAGTTTCATGTGCTTGAAAACATCTGCTACCTTTCCCCTTCCTTTTGCCGTATAAAACTCCTGTCCCGGAAGCTGCTTGTAGTCGGCTTTGACGTAGGTTTCGTCGTCCATTACCACGCAGTCAAACTTCGTCAGCATCGTCGTGTACAGCCTCCGGGATCGCGCTTTGGCCGTCGTATTTTGTTTATCATCGCGATTTGGAGTCACTACCTTCTTGTAAGTCGATAGTCCGGCTCGTTTTTTGGCTCGATGCACGGTTGTAGACGATACACCCAGCTTATTTGCGGCATCTCGGAGAGAGAGGTTGGGGTTTCGCTTGAAACTACCGGCAACTCTCTTTGTCGTCTCAGCGGCTTCCGGTTTTCGATTTCCCCCCGATCCAGACTTCCTGGCTGTCGACAAACGTTCCCCAAACACTTTAATTACATTTGTAACGGTTGATTTGGCAACTTTTAGCGATTTTGCCAACTTTGCGTGCGAGTAGCTCGGATTTTCGCGATGCGCGAGCAAAATTTTGATACGCTGCTCTTCTTGCTTGGACGGCATTTTGACAACTGAAGAGTGAATTCCAAAATCAAAATAGGAGCAACATTCTACACACACACACCTTCAAAATGAGGGGTGTTCAGGTTTTTTAAATGCAAAATTGAAAGAAATACGTCAAGTTGATATTGACCAAATTTTGACCGTATCACCCTTTATACTATGGAATTTCTGATCTTATTTTATTGATATCTTACTCCTTTTTCATGCTGATCTAGATCATGTTTAGATACTCACACACTTAGAAAAATTGATGTTAATGTAGGTTCTCTGAGACTGACATATACGAGCGTCAATTTTGACGTAAAATTGAGTCATAATAGACGCGAAATTCAGCTCAATCAAACGTACTAATGAACTTTTCAGTCTCAGAGCACTTATTATTACATGACATGTTTGTTTACGTCCCATCTTTTATGCACACTTAGCAAAAGTCATGTAAATTTAGGTGCTCTGACAGTGACATATACGAGCGTCTATTTTGACATAAATTAGAGTCATTACAGACGCGAAATATAGCTCAATCAAACGTACTTTTCGTCGAGCAACGAACTTCGCAGTCTCGGAGCACTTAATATTACATGACATGTTTGTTTACGTCTCATATTTTATGTCAAAGACGGATTCCGTCATTTGTAATATTAGTTATTTCTAAGTGTGTGTGAAAGATGGATTCCGCCACATGTAAAATTAGTTATTTCTAAGTGTGTGGACTTCCTGTTGATAAGCGGATACAGTGGTGTTAGTTCTGTCAATGTGCTCGCTGAAATGAAGCTTTCTGTCTAGTGTTAGTCCGAGGTATACAACCTCTTTTGACCATTCCACCGCTGAGCCGTTTAAGCAGATCTTATTATTCATAGACAGAACAAATCTAGGTGATTGGAATGTGGAAAAGTTCACAGCAAAAAAATAATTTTGATATCACATCAAAGTGGATGCACTACAATCATGTCGAAAATTTCATGTAATTTTTATGACGACATAAATAAACAAATGCAGAAAAAGGAGCGTAATGTCAGTTCATGCATTGTATTAATGGTAATTTTGTCCTTTTTAGCAAGTAATATTACACCATATTTTCGACATGATTGTAGTGCATCCACTTTGACGTGATATCAAAATTATTTTTTTGCTGTGTTATGACCTGCGTCTTCACCGCGTTTATACGGATCTTCCAGTTTTTGAACCACTCAGACAGGACATCCAAGCCTCTGTACAAACAAATTGTAGCTTGGGAGGGTTCCCGGAGACGAACCAGCCTTGGGTTGAAAGTCTTCTAAATAAAGAAACAACAACATCAAAGTCTCTTAGGAGTTTGGCAGTAAGAGCTCTGATGACTCTTTCCTTGTACACGATGGATGTGTATTCTGCAAACAAAGACAACGTTCCACCATCTGGGAGAACCAGAATGTCGGAGGTGAACAGGTTGAACACGATGGGATCAAAGATACTTCTTTGTGGAATGCCCGCGCCTATGTTCAAGGCATCATGTTGGTCATCATCAAAATAATGTTGGGTGATCTTCACGAAGAATATTGGAAGAGCATATCGTTGTAATTTGTACACGTGATCTTCATGCCAGACATTATGGAACGCTTGTTCAGCATCCAACAATGCCATAGGAGATGTTTTAGAGACAGTCTGAGAATATTTGTTACTTGAGTCACTTGACGTACAGTTGACCGACCTTTTTTAAAGCCAAACTGCTCGTCGAGTAAGATATTAACAAACCAGACCTTCCTTAACAATTCTGCTCTTACTGTTGATATCCATTCCATTTCTACATTGTTGAAACAATTATCTGAAAAGTTATAAAATTAACAAACTTGTCTTGATTTACAGATCCTAGCAACGCAAGATTGTCCGGTCGACAGCATTAGTTTCCAGTTGAAAAACGCAACATTGAAAACTATCGCGGAATCCCTTCACTCTCTGCCTGCTCTAAAGTGTTCGAAATAATCGTTAATGACGCCTTGCAAGCTGTTGTAGCTATATTTCTCCGCACCAGCATGGATTTAGGGTAGAGAAATTCGTCTCTACAAATCTAGCGCCATTCGTGTCCTCTTGTCTTCGGAATATGGAAGCAGGAGCGCAAACAGATGTCGTCTATACGGATTCAAAGGCCGCTTTTAATCGAGTTTATCATGCTATCCAGCTAGCTAAACTAGATTAGCTTGGTGTGTCACAGGGAGTCATACTTGACAAATCGATAGCTCTGCGTGAAAATCGGAGCAGCACAATCAAACTATTTCATCAATACATCCGGTGTACCTCAAGGCAGCAACTTAGGGCCGTTGCTATTTTCAATATTCATTAACGAAGTTGGATTGATTATTCCGGTTGTCTGTCATTCTTTCTATGCACATGACGTTAAGATTTATGTTGTCATTCGAAGCCTTGCTGACTGCTTACAGTTACAGCATATGATCGAAGACTTCGAGGATTGGTGTTCCAGGATCTTCGTCACGTTGAGTATATTCAAAAATTGAGCATCATCTCTTTACATCGCAAGCGGAAGTCAATCATTTTCAACTAAACGATCAAAAATGAACCGTTGCAACGTGTGAGCAGTATCCGCGATTTAGGAATTACGCTTGATCCAGGAACTACATTCAAGCTACATTATTCTGAGATCATCGCTAAAGCTAACATATAACTCGGGAGTATGTTCAAGATTGCTCTAGCGCGTTCAGTATTGCGATTTGGATAGCGAGGATCGAATCCGCATTACGCCACCTCCCGTGGAACGATCCTGTCAATCTCCCACCGTACGAACATCGCTGTAAACTTTTGGGCTATCGCTCAGACAGTGGTCGTTGTAAAGTATGTGTGGGCGGTATCGACTCTCCCAGTATGCTAGGAGAATTACAAATGTATGCTCCTGAAAGATCATTACGAACAAGGAATTTCTTACATCTTGGGGCGCGCACAGCACATTATGGCCTGCATGATCCAATCAGATTCATGACTGCTAGTTTTAACCGCTTCTACGACTACTTTGATTTCAACATTTCTACGGTTGCGTTTCGTAACCGAATTCAGCGAAGTCTGCACGAGGAATGAACAACTCGACGTATATTGATGGGCAAAATTACATTATGCAACAGTTTGCTTCCAACGATGGACCATGCCAATAACACATTTTTAAGCTTCTAACTGTTGTTGTCATCATGTTTGTTGAATTTTATGTTCTTAATTTGTGTTTTGTATTGTGAATTGTGAAAAGATGTGGGGTTTTCACGCCGTTCAAATTACCAAATAAAGACATTCATTATTATTCATTCATTAAGACAACCCAAAATAAGATGAGAAATATTAAATGCCGCGGATACACTTGTATGACAAACTATGAGCATGAGCATTATTTGTATAATAAATTATGAGCAAATCCATGGTCAAACTTGTAAAGTTTTAGGATGTGCTCATGCTCATAGTTTGTCATACTAGTGTATTCGCGGCATAAGACATTACTGTTGGAAGGTGGTTTCCACAAGCCCTTCATACAACGGTGATTTGAGGATACCATGACATTACAGATTTATCTTCGTTTTTCACCCTGATAAGGTAAACAATAAACCGGGGCATATTCTACAATAGGCCAAATAAATGGTCGCTGTGGTAACGTACGCACAAAAAAAGCAAGCAAAATACATTGTAACTCATTTAATCTAGTCTATTTCTGTCATTTCTTAACGTTAATATTTGGAGTATTATTATAAACTTATTTAGCGATATCAATCAACACAATAGTTGAAACTCAACTCTGTTTTCACGGAATTTTCATTTGTTTTCTAGATTTCATCCACAGCTAGAATGAGTACATATAGAAATTTTAATACCACCATATTTTGTTTTGATTTTGTTTGTATTTAAAAGTGTAACAAATATTGCAGATCATAGTGTGTTCTACCATTCAACATGATTTCTATCGGGCAAACCATCAAACCTTGCTTGCCTTTCTGCGCATGTCTAACATTCGCATTTATGATCAACCATGCCTACGTGTATTTAATTGACCGGCATTTTTCACTACCACATAAAAGACGATGTACGCAAAACAACGCCAAAAGCATCCTGAGACACTCACCGCACCGCTAAATCCCAAAACATAACTGACTCGGTAGTGGAGATATTTGCCAGTTTTGCTGAGTACAAACCCACACACTTTCATCCACGTACGCACGTATAGTAAATTTGGCAAGCGAGAATATTTGAATAATATGGTGTAGCAAATATTGAAGAGTCAGCATCGAATGGATTAGCTCTGGTTTAGTGTGATTCAAAAATCCTAACTCAACTAGCTTTTTCGACACGTATCACGTATGATACGGTAGCGAACTTAGCCGAGGTGGTTTTCAACTTATACGTATATATTGGCCTCAATTTACTGCTATTTACCGTGGTAGTGCATTGTATTTAGATTTAGTAAACAGTGCCTCCCCTTTGGTAGTCAGTATTTGCAAAACGCGGTCCAAAATATGTTCAAACGCTGATAATAAAGATAACGTCATATAAAAATAGCTGCTTCAACTTCAACGTATCAGTTCATCAGACCTGTTCGTGCAAATTGGATCGTTCAATTAGGCTTGAGCTCAAATTCTATAAGAAGATAGAAAAAAAATCGAGATTGTTGGTTGAGCAAAGAAACCGATATGTCATCTGTTAAGCTGGAAACCGTGTCACCCAAGTTCAACGAAGTCGTGTTGGACGAAATTATGCGTGACTATGGTGGTCACAAGTGTACCTCGTGGAAGTTTGAGAACGATGCCTTTAGTAAAGGAGATTCCTACCTCAGTGAACTTTTTCGGATTACGTTGGAAGATGATACTAGTCGGAAGACAAAAGATGGAGCTCCGCTAATAGTCAAGCAAATAGTGAAGTCCATCCCGAAAAATATTGGCCGAAGGAAGACTTTCCGTTCGGCAGATTTCTTTCGAAATGAGATAAACTTCTACAATGTAGTCTTGAGTGAATTTCACAAATTTCAACAGGCGAAACTGCTAAAGAATCCTTTCGACGAGTGTAGCAAGTGAGTAGGTAATACCTGTGCAAAATAGCTTACTTACCAATCAGGCTAAGGCCTTGTTGTCCTCTGCTGTCCGAAGAAGTCGTCTCCACTCTACTCGATCCATGGCCACAGTTCGCCAGCCTCGTAGTCTGCGAAGGGTCCGCAGGTCACCTTCTACTTGGTCGATCCACCTTGCCCGCTGCGCGCCTCTTCTTCTTGTTCCTGTTGGGTCGCTTTCTAGAACCATTTTCACTGGGTCGTCGTGCGGCATTCTTACGACGTGCCCAGCCCACCGTAGTCGCCCAATTTTTGCAATGTGGACGATGGATGGTTCTCCCAGCAGCTGGTGCAATTCGTGGTTCATTCGCCTCCTCCACGTTCCGTCATCCATCTGCACTCCACCGTAGATGGTACGCAACACCTTCCGTTCGAAAACACCAAGGGCGCGTTGGTCCTCCACGAGCATAGTCCAGGTCTCGTGGCCGTAAAGGACCACCGGTCTAATCAGCGTCTTGTAGACAGTCAACTTCGTGCGGCGGCGAATTTTATTCGACCGGAGCGTCCTCCGGAGTCCAAAGTAGGCACGATTCCCTGCCATAATGCGTCTTTGAATTTCTCTGCTGGTATCATTTTCGGCGGTCACCAGTGAGCCCAAATACACGAACTCATCGACCACCTCGATTTCGTCACCGTCAATCTGAACTCGGGGTGGGAGGCTAACATTGTCGTCCCTAGAACCTCTTGCTTTCATATATTTTGTCTTTGATGCGTTGATGGCAAGTCCAATCCGTCTAGCTTCAGCCTTCAGTCTGATGTACGTTTCCGCCATCATCTCAAAGTTCCGTGCCATAATGTCAATGTCATCGGCGAAACCAAGGAGCTGGATGGACTTCCTGAATATCGTGCCACTCGTGTCTATCCCAGCTCTTCTGATCACACCTTCTAACGCAATGTTGAACAGCAGACACGAAAGTCCATCACCCTGCCGTAACCCCCTTCGAGATTCAAAGGGACTCGAGAGTGTCCCCGATAATCGAACAACGCACGTCACTCGATCCATCGTCGCCTTGACCAATCGCGTCAGTTTATCCGGAAATCTGTACTCGTGCATAATCTGCCATAGCTGATCTCGATCGATTGTGTCGTATGCGGATTTGAAATCGATGAACAAATGATGTGTGGGCACGTTGTATTCGCGGCATTTCTGCAGAACCTGCCGAATCGCGAAAATTTGGTCCGTGGTAGCGCGGGCACCCATGAATCCCGCCTGGTATTGCCCCACGAACTCTCTTGCATATGGTGACAGACGGCGGCATAGAATTTGGGAGAGTACCTTGTAGGCGGCGCTCAGCAGTGTGATCGCGCGGTAGTTGCAGCAATCCAACTTGTCGCCCTTTTTGTAGATTGGGCATACGACACCTTCCATCCACTCCTCCGGTAATATCTCCTCCTCCCAAATCTTGGCAATTACCCAGTGCAGCGCTCTAGCCAGTGCTTCACCACCGTATTTCAATAGCTCACTTGGTAGTTGATCTACACCAGTTGCTTTGTTGTTCTTCAGCCGACCGATCTCCTCCTCAACTTCTTGGAGATCAGGGGCCGGTAACCTGTCGTCTTCTGCGCGTGCTCCAAGGTCTGTTGCCGTGCCACCTTCGTTTTCTGCTGCTTCACCGTTGAGGTGCTCGTCATAGTACTGCTTCCACCTCTCAATCACCTCACACTCGTTCGTGAGAAGGTTACCGTCCAAGTCCTTGCACATATCGGCTTGCGGCACGTAGCCTTTGCGCGAACTATTTAGCTTCTCGTAGAACTTCCGTGTGTCGTTTACGCGGTACAGATTTTCCATCGCCTCGCGATCTCGATCTTCCTGCTGACGCTTCTTCCTTCGGAAAACCGAGTTTTGTCTGTTCCGCGCTTGTCTGTATCGCTCCACATTCAATCTCGTGCGGTGTTGCAGCATTCTCGCCCGTGCTGCATTCTTCTCCTCTACTAACAGTTTGCATTCGCCGTCAAACCAGTCATTTCTTCGATCCGGGATTGCAGTACCTAGTGCCGCTACAGCAGTACTACCTATGGCTGAACGGATGTCCCTCCAGCCATCTTCAAGAGAAGCTGCGCCAAGCTGCTCTTCCGTGGGTAGTGCAACTTCCAGCTGCTGCGCGTAGTCCTGGGCAACTCCGGTGTCCCGTAGTTGCTCAATGTTGGGTCGTGGCGTTCGACTTCGACGTGTGTTATGCACCGTCGAGAGTTTTGAGCGCATGCATACTGCAACTAGGTAGTGGTCCGAATCTATGTTCGCACTGCGGTACGTGCGGACGTTGATAATGTCGGAGAAGAATTTCCCGTCGATTAGAACGTGATCGATTTGGTTTTCTGTGTGTTGGTCAGGTGATCTCCAGGTGGCTTTGTGGATATCCTTGCGGGGGAAAAAGGTACTTCGAACTACCATACCCCGGGAGGCTGCAAAGTTCACGCATCGTTGGCCGTTGTCGTTCGATACGGCATGCAGGCTGTTTGGCCCGATTGCCGGTCTATACATTGCCTCCCGTCCTACCTGAGCGTTCATGTCGCCGATGACGATTTTGACGTCCCGTTGCGAACAGCCGTCGTACACCTGCTCCAGCTGCGCATAGAACGCTTCTTTCTCGTCGTCGGGTCTCCCTTCGTGTGGGCAGTGCACGTTGATGATGCTGTAGTTGAAGAAACGGCCCTTAATCCTCAACTTGCACATCCTCGCGTTGATCGGCTGCCAACCAATCACGCGTTGGCGCATCTTACCCAGCACTACAAAGCCGGTTCCCAGCTCGTTGGTGGTGCCACAGCTCTGGTAGAAAGTAGCCGCTCGATGCCCGCTTTTCCATACCTTTTGTCCCGTCCAGCAAAGTTCCTGCAGTGCTACGACTTCGAAGTTGCGTGGTTGAAGTTCGTCATAGATTAACCTATCGCAACCCGGGAAGCCGAGCGATTTGCAGTTCCATGTTCCGAGTTTCCAATCGTAGTCCTTATTTCGTCGCGTAGGTCTGTGCCGATTGTTCCGATCCGTATTTCTTTCTTCGGTATTTGCAACTTTGTTTTTTTCCAGGGCGGCTTGTTGGGCCTGCCCCAACCCCCTGTCTCGCCGGGGGACCATCGTGCACAGCTCTGTTTAGAGTCCCACGCTGGCACTAGGACGGTGATCAGCCGCTCCTAACATGGAGAACAGACGCTGTTTTGAGCCGCACCTCCATGGTGAGCAGACGCTCAGGTTTGGTGAAGCATTTCCTCTATCACCGTACTATGGTTACCGCGCCAGTGTTCGCGTCGCACCTCTTCACTTTGCTATTGCCGGACTGGCAACATTGCCCAGGCTACGCCAACCAGCTGTGTCCATGTTTCAGCTGGTAGTCTTTTGTTATCATATGACTCGAGGAGGCGTGAAGTAGGAACTTGTGAGGACCAGGGCTAGGTATTCCGCTCCTTCCAGGTTGTCAACTCACCATTTTGTAGCCCAAAAATAGCGCCAACTATAATTATCTTCTTTGCATTCCAGATGCCTAGCAGCGTATTCGGATGGCGAGAATGATTTTATCGCTATGGAAGACTTGACTCAATTTGGATTCGGAGCGGCATCCAGGTATGTTCAAATGATACAGATACTTACAGAGAAGGTTCCTTTTACGTTATGAAAATTCCAAAAATCCCCAGTGCTACGTCATTTATGTGTCGTTCTTGACTCCGTTCTGAACGTGTTTTGAAGACAGAAACGAACCGATTATATCGTTGTTCAAATGTTACAATTGTTAGAGTTATTCTATTGTAAATTTTTTTTTATACATACTAATTTTGAAATTTTCTTCCTCTTAAACTCGTATGTAACACTAAACTTTCCCTTTCCATCGAAATGTTATATATAATAATAAATACATGTATGATTCGCCGTCCGTTACACATAGGACTGTGTGTACGGATGTTTTCTGTACTGGCAGTATTTTTCTTTTAAAATTAAATTTCAAAAGTCTTAAACATAAATAAAGTAAAGTATTTCATATTGGGCCTCCCTTAGCTCAGTCAGTAAAGGCGCAGCTACAAAGCAAGACCATGCTGGAGATGGCTGGGTTCGATTCCCGGTCCGGTCTAGGAATTTTTCGGGTTGGAAAATTTCTCGACTTCGCTGGGCATTAGACTGATGCAAAATTTGAAATTTTTGCTCCACAGTGCTCAAACGGTTTCAAATTGGGCCCTGATTAGCCTCCAAGTGAGAAACTGACTTGGCACAAACTATTTGAAGTTTATATGGAAATTACTATGGGGAAACAAAACATTTTGTTCATTGTCTTCTAGCCTTTCTAAATATTGTACTGTTAACAAATTCTATTGCTAATCTTATTGGAATTTTTATCAGCTACAACTTTGCAGAAAATCGTTTTTCAGTCAAACGTCAAATTAAATAGTTATTAATTGTTTAAGAGATTGATAATCTTATGGCAAGATTAGGCAACTGTCTTGTGGGCAACACTGTATTCTGCAGTGTGATATAGTAGCCATGATTTTTGTCCTCTATTCTACGCGCCATAAACACCAATGTTGCCTGCATAATCATAAGACATCAGTGACTTGAAAGATTAATATTTTTTGCTCCTTACATTTGATCGAAAAGTGGTCTTCAACAAAGTTATAGATGAGAAAATTTTCAACATGCTCAGCTATCATTTTCTTAAGTAGAGGGAACTGATGAATTTTGAGATAGATATGAACCGAAATTATAGTTTCTTTATAGTAATTCCCATATAAACTTCAAATGGTCAGTTTCTCACTAAATGAGTTCAAATTTTGGGAGGCTAATAAGGGCCCAATTTGGAACCGTTTGAGCACTGTGGAGCGAAAATTTCAAATTTTGCATCAGTCTACTGGGCATAGAGTATGATTGTACTTGCCACACAATTATACTAATGCAAAAATGGTACAGGCATCGAAAGCTCGCAATTAATAACTGTGGAAGTGCATCTAGAACACTAAGTTGAGAGCACGCAATAAGCTAAAATGCGATCAGCATTAAGCTTGAAATGCGAAGAAAAAGAAGAAGCATGTCATATGAAAACAAATTTGCATCGAATTTGGGAGCGAAAATACCTGATTCGGTACTCGGTCAGTACTGAAGTCCGTGAGCTCCTAAAATCGATGTTTAAAACTTTTTGAATTTTAATTTAAAATAAAAAATCTGCCAGTACCGAAAATACGGATAAGTAGCCATAATTACACATCATTTGAATTAGTGACAAATCGACTTTTTTATGCTATCGGACAGGTTTGGGCCGAAGGATCTCAGAACGCTATAAAATCACCGGGGATTGATGGTTTGTCAGTAGAGTTCTACCTACGAACATTCGACGTCATCTATCGAGAGCTCTACTTCGTTATTAATGAAGCTGTGTCCAATGAGCTCCCCTCTGAATTCGCCGATGGCACTATCGTATTGGTTTAAAAGCGAGGAGGGGATGGGACAGCAAGAGCGCACACTGATAAATTTAACTATTCTCATTTTGCTTGAAATTTAATCAATTTGACATTAAGCTCAGTTTAATCATATCGAATGATTAAAAATTAATTAACGCTTGCGAAAAAATAATCATCTGATATAAAACCCAGTTTAATCATGGTTGTTTAAAATGAAAGTAATCTTGTTTGAATAAATTTTAATCATTTTTGTTTCTCTTTTAATCAGTTTTGATTGATTTTTAATCATTTTTGGTTTCAGAATGTAATACTGAAAAGATAAATTTTTATCACAAGTTGTTATATCATGGCCGGACTCAATAAGGTGAATCGAGGAGCTTAGCTTTTTTGATTTAATTTATTTTTGAGTGATCACCCTGCTCAACGTCGATTTTATGGTGTATTCAGATCTGAGCGGAGAAAGAACTAGTTGTCTTTCTCATTCCAACGCAAATTTTGCTCCGCTTATCTAATGCACCCTCAGATCGGCATACACCTTTTTAAATTCTCTCCCACGTGATGAAGTTCCACCTAGAACGCGAACTGCAGATCCATCGAGTTCTGAACGACTCTCAAAAATGCGCAAACACCAACCGCTCTATTTCCAAGCTACACTCTCGCGCAAACATCGTGTTGCGTAGCTAATCGCGAGGAAGCAGAAGGGGAAGATGATTGCGTTCGACCTTGACCACGCATTCGATCGGGTCTCTCATGAGTTCCTGCATCGGACCCTACTCTCTCTGGGCTTCGACGAAGGTTTCGTCCTCGGCTGGCTCTCTCGGGTCGCTGCTGCCTCTTCATCAGGGCTGTTAGTGAATGGGTGCCTCTCAGAGTCGTTCCGTTTAGAACGGTCCGTACGTCAGGGAGACCCGATGTCGATGCTGCTGTTCGTTCTCTATCTTCATACCCTCCTCACATGGGTGGAGCGAGTGTGTGTTGCGTATGCTGACGACATCACGGTGATTGCCACCTCAAGACACACGATGGACCGGAATCATCATCTGTTTGGTAGTTTCGAGATCATATCCGGGGCAAAGATAAATCGGCTGAAAATAGTAGCGATCGATGTCGGTTTAATCAATGCAAGGAGATCCAGGATACCAGGGTTGAAGACAAAAGAGAATGTCAAGGTGCTGAGCGTTATTTTCAGCAACTCAGTATGGCTTATGGTAAAACTAAACTGGGATGCTTTAGTATCCAGGATAGGGAGATTTACCGTCGGGTTAACCTAACTTTTTTTTGACATCTGGCAGTAGTTTGTTTACATGGACTTAGAAAAAAATTTAGGTTTTTTTTTAATATTTTTTAAAGAGGAAGATTTTTCAAAAGAACATAGTCCGATAACATATCCTTTAGCACTTTTATTAAAAAAAAATTCGACTGCACCGATGGATTTAAGTTCATGCACTGATGGAAATTTGACAGAAAAGCGGGGAAATGTTCATTAATAATGAATATTTAGTGTTCATTTTTAGTAAGCATTGCCCCGCTTGCTTGTCAAATTTTCGGCAGTGCATGAACTCAAATTCATCGGTGCACTCGTCCATGGTTGCGCTCCCTTTCCGTGCAGCAGAAAGTGCTAGGTACTGCTGAACACCTTCATCACCTCTCTGTTATTCCACTGCAATGTGCTCACACGGCAAAGCTGACATCAACGATGGGAACATGCCTTTTTCGTGGGCTAATATTTAAGGAACATCTCTTTTCAATGCTAATTTCTTCCAAAGTGGATATGTTGAGCAGAAACGAGATTTATTCAATTATTATTATTTTTTTAATGCTCCACATTATCAAAATAATTTATCACAAAAGATGCCCTGGACAAATGGGGAAACAAATCAAAATAATTTACACAAACCTTTGAGTAACAATTATTTGTTTTCTTTATCTTATCTAATCTAATCTAATCTAATACAAACGCAGCCAGTACAAGACAGCATCCTGGAAAATAATTAGATTAGATAACGTCTAATCATTTTTCTTGTCAACATTGATTTTTGCAGCATATCAGCCTATCGGCCAGGCCTACTGCGTTGCATTTTCCCCAAAGATGCTTCAATTTTAAATAAATACATTCAAACAGCGAGGCATTTCGTGAATCTACAGGTGAGGAATGCGTGGACATACTGTATCAAACGCTCCGATTTGAATTGAGAAGAAACAAAGAGTTAAAAAAGGGACCTTTTATTTCAATTTGAATATGCTTGATCTAGTTATAATTGTTGTAAATAATACTTACATTCTGATGAAGATGGTGCTACCTGTAGTCAAGCTTGTATAGTTACCTATTTGGTGATATTATTCTTCCAGGTTCTTTGACAATTCATATGATAGCGCTCTTCGTGTATAATCTTCTTATTTAAAAGGTTCACTCAGTATCCGGAATGAATGTTTGGTTTATCATATAGTTGATATGGTTAGTAATATGAAATAGCAAACGAAAAAGAAAGACAACCGGGATTAGTTTTATGAAGTGATCCTTTCATCGGAATACCCAACTAACCATATCGTATCTTATCGTGTCTCAATGACATCATGCTTGTCATACACAGTTTTGGTCACGAACTGCTCATTTGCTAATAACTTTGCACACAGTTGACGAAACATAGTTCTTTTTGAAGCAGTCGATATAATAGAGTTTAAGCAGTTTAAGCTTGTTATTGATACATAAAAAAGTGGATTTTAATTCCAGTAATAAACTGTATTTGTTTTTGCGTTGTAAAAATGAAGTGAGAAATGCTTGCTGCACATTTCGGACTTTGAGTGTAAAAATTCATTAGTGTTTTTTTTCTCCTTGATTTGTTTTCTGTCGATCTTGTTTTCCTTGCTGATCACCAATGCTACCGACGCCAAGGAGGCAAGTTCCACACCAGGACTCTACCTATCGACCCATCAACTGAGTGAAAAATTATTAACAAATGAGCAGTTGGTGTATACAACTGTGCATGTCAAGCATGAAAAGCATTGTCTCACCCTGCATTTAAAACAATTACATTGTTACTTGGGTACTCACGTAACATACCGTGCAAGTACCAAAAGATAAACTACGCCCAACTATGGACAGCTTCATGTTTATCCTAGTTATTCTTTAAATCAGCAAACACATACATGATTATCTACTAAGAAACGCCAAAATATAGAGAAAAGCTCAAACATACAGTTTTAACTGATAGAACTTAATAAACAGCAAACTGTCCAATAATAGGCACTGCCAACCTACGGCATCTGCACGATAATGTGGGCCATCAGAATGGTTCATCGGTTGCTAAGTGTAGTATTTCTCAAAATAGAGCTATATATTTCTCAATGTTTAAATGTTATCCTTACGTAAACTTAATATTATAACCCATATTCCACTAACCCCACCCCCACATAAAAACCAAATAAAAAATGTTTATATACGGGAAAAACGAGAATGTGGGTGTATCTTCACTGTAACAACTACGTGTAATCATCGAAAGTACTTGCATTTTACTCAGGCACTTTTGAGCAAACTGCAATCACTCTCTCATACTCGAAATGTGCCTTGAACAAATTGGCACAACGACGCCCTATACGCTTTATGACCAGAACGCAGAGTATAAATGGTTTGTTTGCTTTATTCTTTATTCTTTTCAAATTAAGTTTAAAGAATCCATATCATTATAAAACAAACTGTTATTTCAATTTTACAAAAAGTAGTATGGCCTTAACTTGTTGTTGGAAGAAAGAGTTACATCAAATTCTTACCGTTCAACTGGTTTACTGAATCTACTCGGGATCTATTATCGGAATGTTCTCTTAAATTGAGCCAAGTAAACGTTCGCTAACTAAAACATATTTTTTAAATATTATAAATTTCAACTACTGACCAGTTCAACACAATCAGAGGCGACTTCTCCGATTAAAGTTTGCATAATTGTTTGTTATGGACAATCTGTCACAGATTATAGATCCACATATCCAAGATTCTCCCATTAATAATAGTACAAAAATCGAGATGACTTGTTCAATGTTTATCAATAAATCATAGCACGAAATCGTTACTTCTTATCGAAATGTCGGCTGAGACAAAGTTGTCGGAAAAAATAAAGTCTTCTAATTAAATATGCATGATAGAAACTAGTAATCATTGTTTTAATTAACACAATGGTTCTTTTCAATTTTTATTGAAAAAATGTAATTTAAAATCTTTTGTAAAATACTAACGATTACGAAATTTTCTACCATCAATTGTTAAGTTTATTCATGTCTCAGGATTCGAAATTCTTATTTCTGTTTTTTTTTGTTTGTATCCGGAATTTAAAAAAAACATTTTTGCTCAATTTTTTTGAGACTCTACTCAGAATTTCTTTGGCCTTTTTAGATGAGTTGCATTAGAATTAACACAGAATTCCGTCATACTTTGTTTATGAACTCCCCTAGAATAATATTGGAAATCTTTTTGTTGTTGTCTGTAAAATTTCAAAATAAATTTTAAGAATTCTCTGCAGACTTATCTAAACATAAGCTTTAGAAAACTCTTAGAAATGACTATTCAGTATTATCATTCCCTAATACTGTTCCCAACAATTCGATGATTTTTTATTTATAAATTTAAAAACTATTATCTTTAAATAATTTCCTTGGTTCACCTTCAAGAATCACCTTAGAATTCTTTAAAACTATTTTACACTTTGAGTCAAAATTATCTATTATATTATATAATTATTTTCACCATTCCCTAAATACTCTAGGTAGGTTTTGGAATTCCCTCAGAATTTTTTATGTTTTCTTATTTTTTTTATTGCGTTTATTTATAAGGCCCCCTCGCCTATTAGGCATTGCTTGGGCCGATGACCATTATTGAACAATTAAATCCCTTCCCGATTTTATTTTTCAAATAAAACGAATATACGAAACTAACGATTTTAAATGGGCTCACTACTTGACTAGCCTATTGGTCCCAAGCAAATCAACTAACGTTACCCATTCTAGTATAAATTCCAGTACTACACTATGTTTGTATTGATTCGCTATGAAAGTTTGACAGATAAAATGAGGGGTTCGTCGATTTTCCTATGTTTCGAGGGGTGAATCGATAAGCTTAGGACGGAAGATAGTACCAGAGCTGAGCCAAAAAGTTGAGCTCGTTTATTCGGGACCTTCTGGTCTTAGAGTTACCTCTATGGTATTATCCCCTATTTGATAAGTTGCATTATTTTCATCTAAACGATCTGTTTGCTGACCAGTCTTCTGGGTGCACTGATCAGCACGAACTTTCTTTTTTTCGTTCTCCTTGTGTTGCGACAGCCGGCGTTTGTTGGTATTTTCAAATGGAATCCTTTGTTGCGTTTGATGAGCGGGTGCTAGAGTTTTCGTCGTTGCTTTCAACGTTTGAAGTGTGATGATCCTCGGTTTGATTGTCGGTGTTTCGCTGTTGTTCTTCTGCTGAGAACCCTATGAAAGCAGGAGATGATTGACCCGATGTCGTTGGCTGGTTTTGTTCGATAGCAATCAGCGAGACTGAATACCCCCTCCGTTGGTGGAGCTGCTGGAGCGGTGCTATTGTTCGATGTGGCTACATCCAAACATTTCTGTTTGGGATGTGCTGCTCGGCCACAATGGCGGCACGTTTTTGGTTGCTTGTTGTATGTTACCAACGTTGTTTTGTTGTCGACCGTGATGTACGATGAAATGCCACTTTCGAGTCGCATTCGCAAAACTCGAACACCGCTCAGGAATCCAGGGAAGTAGTGCTTCCATTTCTCATGTCGACTGGATATCACTGTCCCGTACTTTGCCATGTGGTTCAAACAGTGGCTTGTGGCCATGCCAGAGGAAGGTCATGCACTCGAACGGTCACTGCTTCACAATCCATACAGGGTGCGTGACGAATTTTTGCAGTAAATGGCATATTTGAGAAAAAATACACCAGTTAGTTATTCTAGCAATGAATTTTGTGCGAATTATTTTCTTTCGCAACATATGGAAGTTGTAAGTAAATTTATTCAAAAAAATTGCCTTCCCTTTCGACGACTGTAGTTAGACGCTTCCGGAAACTGCAGTATGCACGTTTTAAAATGTTTCGATCCATAGATGTCATCACTGCCTTGATTTTAGCTTTTAGCGACTTAAGTGTGGTGTGAGGGGTTCTATTGGTACATATCCCGTTGGACGACGCCCTATACAAAATAATCCAATGGATTGATATCGGGACTGCTTGGGGGCCAAATTTCTTCCTCCCAAATTTACGAAATATTTTCCGTAAGCCATTTCTGTGCTTTATTAGCAGTATGAGCAGGTGCTCCGTCTTATCACTTTCCCAAGCCTTTTTTAATATTATACACTGTTCTTTCAGACACATTTACCGACCGAATTATTTCTTTCATGCATACTCCGGCGCGCAACAAAGCGACAACGGCTGACAGATTGCTCTCTTGTTTCGACATCTTTACGTTTACTCAACATTGTTTGTTTAAATCTTACACCTAACAGTATAAGCTATCCAGTGCTGCCGAATATATCTAAATCATGATGCACAAGCATGAGAAATTACTATTTGAAATTTACTGCAAAAATTCGTCATGCACCCTGTATACCGGGATTTTGAACTCACTCATCGCACAGAGAATCGCGTGTTTATAGTTGCGCGCCTTTTCATAGCGCAACGCAACTTTATTGTCTATCATCTCAATAAAAACACAATTTCGGACGTTATGAAACTGAATGCATCTAACGTCCGAATATTAAAGCTTAATATTGTTCTCGAAGAATTTTTGCACTTTTCCTGCATTGGGAAGAACTGAAAGGACACTGAAGTCAACAACAAGTGCTACATACACTCATTTTCGCTACAATATTTCACCAAGTTAAGCAGAGCAGAAAGAACACACGTCCGATGAATACGGGTAATGGCTGCCTTATAATTCGATTAAAATGATCCTCAAAATATTGTTGCAATTCTTTTCTGAGTTCCTTTGAAACATTCGCCAACATTTCCATTGAGTTCTTCTCAGGATTTCCTGTTTGTGCCACCCACAATTTGTGCAACTTGGTTAATTCGAATGCGATGTGTGTGAGCAAACAATATTTAAGGCTTTTTTAAATGGTCAAGTGTGAATAAAACATTAAATTTTTTATGTTCGTTAGGATTTATATATCAATATTTTTATTTATTTTTAATACTAGTCTTCTTTTTTAACTTTTATTTTCAGACGCGATGGCATTGGTATAGCGGAGTGCATCATGTGCATGCAAACTATTGGCCGTTTCCACGCCTTATCGCTCGCAATGAAGCATCAACAACCGGAGAAATTTCATCTGCTTGTGAAACACGTCGAAGAAACGTACTACGCCAAACAGCACAAGAATTGGTATAGTAACTTTATGAAGGTTCAGGTCAGAATCGCCAAGGATGCCTTAAGTCAGGAGTACGGTGGTTCGGACCTGGAGAAGAAAGTGCACAATTTTTTCGACTGCGATTTGTACGATAAAATGGTTTATTTTACTCATACGCGAAATCAGAACTCGGTCATAAACCATGGAGATTGTTGGATGCCCAATTTTCTATTCCGTTATGACTCGGCAGGTGTACCCGTCGCAGCCAAGATGATCGATTTTCAACTCGCACGTTACTCGTCTCCAGCGTTGGACATTTCGTTCTTCGTGTATTCCTGTACTTCGCAGAAAATTCGTGAGGAACACTACGAGGATCTGTTGAAGGCGTACCATAATAGTTTGTCCGATATGCTGCGTGATCTCGGATCAAACCCAGAGGAACTGTTCTCGTACTCGGAACTCCAGAAGGAATTGCACGAATTTGCTCGGTTCGGCTGCGGCATGGGTATCGAGTCTATTCCATTTTCTCTGTTGGAAGAAAATGAGGTCCCCGATTTGGACCAGATTACGGGAGACGAAGCAGTCCCGCTTGAACAGGTCTGGATTCTGAAAAATATCAAAACTCAGGATGGAAGGCGTCGATTGACCGATATGTTCAAGCATGCATCTGACTGTGGTTATCTAGATTGATTGATATAACAGATGAACCCCAGAGCTGTTTTTCAAAGCGTCCTATAAACCAATTAAAGATTTTCTCCATTAATTTCCTTCTTTCAAATAACGACTAGGTAGGGTTGCGGGATGTATTTTCGGTCAGTGCTTTTTTTTGAGCCTATCGCTAAAATTCAAGTTTGAATTTGTTGTCTACATAGATGCGGCTGAACTAAATGCTTGAATGCGGAATAGCCTATGGAATCGTTTTGTAGTGAATTGAGTATTTTTCTGTTAATTCCGTGGTAATTCCTTATCTGCAAGTAGTGGACGAAATACGAGTATCTGTCAAAAGATAAACAATTATAAATTACTCTTCACACCCCAAAATACCTTCATAGGAACAAGTGTAGCAGTGAGTTATAGCGATAGGCGCATAGATCGAAATCACATCCCGTTTCCCTTAGTGAGTGACCTTTACGCAATTTGTTCCAGCACAGTATGCTAGGGATAATGTCCCTAATGTCAGCCTAAGTATTCCCAATATTGAGTTAATACATAAATGTTGAAGGACAGTATTTTTAGACAATGTTTCACTAGCATCCAAAAATACCCATTTGGATGGTTCTACAAAATATTCAAGAACGGGATTTTTATCGATGGGCTCAATCTTTAGATCCATAGGTCAACATTAGAGCCATTTCCCCTATTAATGTGTTGTTATAGTGATATAGATAAAATTTAGGACATATATTCGTTTTACGTTGCCTTTATTTGAAAGAGGGGAATCCAATAGGTTGTTTGAAGAAGCACTTTTATCAAATAAAGTTTTGTCTACGATTTATGATAAACATATAAATATATGATAATATGGTACATCAAATGATTCACCATTGATTTTTTAATAAAACGTACATCAGCTCATGTCATAGAAAAAAATTATGCTTCGAAATTTCATCCCAATAGGTGAAGGTTTTTTTTTTTATCTTTCACTATTATGCTTTGTTCAGACTACAAAGTTATAACATGTTATAATAATTATCGACATTATAAATAACATCAAAATAGTCTTGTAACATGTTATAACTGTTCAGTCTTGGTAGTGTATGTATGTTTTTTTTTGCTTTTTTTTTGCAAGGAGAAAACCTTCAAAAAGACCAACGTGCCACCGCTTGACGACTGGGCGCACAGTCGCGGTGACACGGTGTGTGGGATTCTTACCGCACTAAAACCTCCTTCACAGAAAAAAAAAGTTGTTGAATATTACATCCAAACTGCTGCAACCAGGTCAATCCATCGGTTGTGTAATATAACGTTGTACGATGTACATCGATTTTGCGAACAAAATTACATCCATTGATGTAATATTGTATCTGCTCTTTGCTATTACATCATTATTTCATACATCATCTTGAATTACATTGATCGATATTACATTTTTTTTTTTGCTGTGTTGGACTCTTTGCCCTTTTCCCCCGGAACCACTTGTCGTATTACTTCGGAGGGGGCCGTGCATTACGCATCTCACTTTCCCTCAGCTAATTGGCGCTTCCAGTTCGCTGATCGTCTCTCCAATTTGTGAGCCATTTAGCTCCCAGTGTCACGTTCTACTCGGTTATCCCCGGTGGTGGATTCAGCCTACTCTGACGGAGAGTTCTCCCGGCTTCGGCTTTCAGTTCGCACTTGTGTGAGCACATTACTACTTTCTAGTTGGTCTTCTCACCATTTTCGCTTAGGCTCTGAACCATTTGGTGGATTATTTTAACTTTTGGTTAAAATTTGACAGATGAAAAGTTATCGATTAACCCTGCTATCCGAGCATGGTTATTTCTGACAGACAAGAAGTTAAATTTTGACAACCGTGGCTCGAAAACCGGTCGATCGACAGCACGGGGATTTTCGAACATAGAAAATAACTTTCGAAATGTCACTTTTAACCACGAGTTAAATTTAACTTGGCAAATGGTTCACAGCAAAAAAATAATTTTGATATCACATCAAAGTGGATGCACTACAATCATGTCGAAAATTTCATGTAATTTTTATGACCACATAAATAAACAAATGCAGTAAAAGCAGCGTAATGTCAGTTCATGCAATGTATTAATGATAATTTTGTCTTTTTTAGCAAGTAATATTACACCATATTTTCGACATGATTGTAGTGCATCCACTTTGACGTGATATCAAAATTATTTTTTTGCTGTGTTCACAGCCTTAAGCGCTGACATGATCTGCGTTACTGCTCTGCTGACGGCGTTAAAGGTGCCCTCCTCCTCTCGACACATTTCTTCGACGACATTCTCCGTGCTAAGGGCGAGCATCTCCTCTCGCACAGCATCCCGGTTCTGGAAGTAACTACTTAGAATCCTGCAGAGGTAGTCTCTGGAACCCTCATTCTATGGAGCGCTTTGGCGATGGCCTCCCAGCTGGCGCTATGAATGCATTCTTCATATCAATCGTAAACACGGCGCAGTATGTATGTATGTATGTATGTATGTATGTATGTATGTATGTATGTATGTATGTATGTATGTTTTTTTTTTTTTTTTTATAGTAAGGTTTAGGAAAGCTTCAAGAAGCCTGGCCTGTAGTGAAGGTGGCACGGTGTGGTATCCACTAGTTGCCTAGTGCAGCTCCACTAAAACCCATTCCTTACTCTCTCCTCTGCCTGGATCCCCCCGGGACCACTGTGAAGCGACTACTTCGGGGGGTGGCTGTGCTCATGCACTTGTCGTACTCTCAGCGCTAGCTGGCGTTGCTAGATCGCTGCTCTTCTCTCCATTTACGCTGCAGCTCTGACATAATCTGTGTGACTGCCCTGCTGACGGCATTCCAAGAGTCCTCCTCTCGACACATTTCATCAACGACATTCTCCACGTTAAGGACGGGCATCTCCGTTCGCACAGCCTCGAACCTTGGACAGTCAAAGACCACATGCCCCGGCGTTTCATCGACGTTGCCACACTCCGGACAGAGGGGTGACACTGCGTGTCCGAACCGATGCAGGTATTTCCTGAAGCAGCCGTGGCCAGACAGGAACTGCGTTAGGTGGAAATTGACTTCTCCGTGTTTTCTGTTCACCCAGGTCGAAAGGATCGGTATTAGTCTATGTGTCCATCTACCGTTCTCCGTCGTGTTCCACTCCTGTTGCCACTTAGCCAATGACTCCACTCTCACAACTTTCCGTACTCTTCCGGCTTCTCTCTGCCTGTAGCACTCACTGTCCTCCGCCAGGGTGATGCCGATAGGGATCATACCGGCGATAACGCATACTGCTTCCGACGAGATGGTTCTGTACGCACTCACGACTCGCATGGCCATGAGCCGGAACGTACTGCTCAGTTTCCTTTGGTTCTGCTTCGTTTCCAGCGCTGGAACCCAGGCTGGACCTCCATATCTCAGTATCGATGATGACACGCTGGCCAGAAGACGCCTCTTGCTACTGCTGGGACCAGCGTTGTTCGGCATGATTCTAGCTATCGCGTTGATGGCCTTCGAAGCCTTCTCACAGGCATATTCGACGTGGCTGTTGAAGTTTAGCCGGTCATCGATCATCACTCCCAGGTATTTTAACACACGCTTCGAGGCTATGGTGTGCTCCCCGACGGTGATTTCTGCCCGCTGTACCGCTTTACAGTTACTGACCAATAACACTTCCGTTTTGTGGTGGGCTATCTGCAGCTTCGCTCCTTGCATCCAGTTACCAATCATGTCGATTGCCTCGGTTGACAACACTTCCACCTCTTCCAGCGTCTCGCCTGTTACCGTCAAGACGACGTCGTCCGCAAAGCCAACGATCTCAACTCCTTTGGGCAGTTTCAGCGTTAGCACGCCGTTGTACATCCCGTTCCAGAGCGTTGGACCAAGGATGGAGCCTTGTGGAACTCCCGCTGTGATCCTAATCGATCTCTGTCCCATGTCTGTCTCGTAGACCAGAACCCGGTTCTGGAAATAACTCCTCAGGATCCTGCACAGGTAGTCAGGGACCCTCATTCTATGCAGTGCTTCGGCGATGGCCTCCCAGCTGGCGCTGTTGAACGCATTCTTGACGTCGATCGTTATCACGGCGCAATATCGATCTCCTCTCCGCTTCTGTTTGGACGCCTTTTCAGCTCTCTCGACCACTGTCCGAATTGCATCCACCGTCGATCTCCCTTTCCGGAATCCGAACTGCCTCTCCGACAATCCGTGCTCACTCTCCGTGTATTTCGTCAGCCTGTTTAGGATGATCCTCTCCAAGAGTTTTCCGAGTGTATCCAGCAGGCATATAGGCCTGTATGATGCTGGATCCCCCGGCGGTTTTCCTGGTTTCGGCAGCAACACTAGCTTCTGTATCTTCCACCTGTCAGGGAAGTGACCCTCGTTTAGGCATTTCTGCAGCACCATCCTGAACATGTCCGGGGATGACTGGATCGCCGCTTTCAACGCTACGTTGGGGATTCCATCCAGACCGGGAGCTTTCTTCACCTTCAATCCTTTCGCCACTACTACGAGCTCCTCGTTGGTGATTTCGACGTTATCTCCCTCTCCTTCTCCGTACGGTGTAGGTGGCCAGGTTGTTGGGTCGTGCTTCGGGAAAAGTCCTTCCACGATGACTTTCAGCTTCTCTGGGCACATTTCAGCGGGCATCGTTGGACCTCTGATCTTCGCCATCACGACTCGGTATGCGTCGCCCCAGGGGTTGGCATCAGCGTCTCGACACAGCTCCTTAAAACAGTTCGACTTGCTCTGCTTAATCACTCGTTTAAAAGCGGCCCTGGCCGCTCGAAACACTTCTCTTCGTTCCTCTCTGTCTGCTTCCGTTCTTGCTCTCTGAACACGTCTTCTGGCTCTGAGACAACTAGCGCGGAGAGTACTAAGTGCCTCGTTCCACCAGTAGACTGGACGCCGTCTGTTATTTGGCTCCAGTTTCCTCGGCATGGTCGTGTCACATGCTCTCACTAACGTTTCTGTCAGCTCGTCCGCATTTAGATCTACGGGACTCCCGTCCACACGAAGTGCCTCAACGAACAAATCCTTGTCGAAAGCTTTCGTCTTCCACTTTCGGTCACAAGTTCTCGTCCTCCGTACTGCCACAGTATTCCGTTGACCGATGCCATATCGTATCGCCTGATGGTCGCTATGGGTATATCCTTCGCACACTCTCCAATCCATGTTTGCCATCAGTGACGGACTGCAGAAAGTAACGTCGATAATGGATTCTCGGCCATCTCTGCGAAAAGTGCTGCTGGTGCCTTTATTGGCCAGCATAACTTCCAGTTTTGCCAGAGCTTCCAGCAGACTGTGCCCTCTTGCATTGGAACACCTGCTTCCCCACTCCACTGCCCAAGCATTGAAGTCTCCTCCGATGACTACCGGTCGTCGTCCGACCAGCTCTTGTATGTATGTATGTATGTATGTATGTATGTATGTATGTATGTATGTATGTATGTATGTATGTATGTATGTATGTATGTATGTATGTATGTATGTATGTATGTATGTATGTATGTATGTATGTATGTATGTATGTATGTATGTATGTATGTATGTATGTATGTATGTATGTATGTATGTATGTATGTATGTATGTATGTATGTATGTATGTATGTATGTATGTATGTATGTATGTATGTATGTATGTATGTATGTATGTATGTATGTATGTATGTATGTATGTATGTATGTATGTATGTATGTATGTATGTATGTATGTATGTATGTATGTATGTATGTATGTATGTATGTATGTATGTATGTATGTATGTATGTATGTATGTATGTATGTATGTATGTATGTATGTATGTATGTATGTATGTATGTATGTATGTATGTATGTATGTATGTATGTATGTATGTATGTATGTATGTATGTATGTTTGTATGTATGTATGTATGTATGTATGTATGTATGTATGTATGTATGTATGT